TGCTAACAGCAACAGGGATGAGTCAGTGAGTCAGTTGGGCTTGTGAATCATGACTCACAAGTCAGTAAAGTGATTCTCGAGTATTGAACGATTGGTTCACGAATCGAACATCACTACAGGCAACCCAAAACACCTGGGAGCACAAACTGAGAGACAGGAGTGAAAAAGGAGAGAAAACAACAAAACGCTACACACAGAAAGAAAATAAACAGGTACAAAAAGACATGAGCTCTGGGTCCTTAGACCCAGGCCATGACAGTTTCGGAGGAAAACACGAATACAGTGTACAGTCGAGTCTTAATAACTTACTTACAACTGGGCTCCTCAGGCACTCTTTTTGGCTGCAGTGGTTATTATTATATTTACATTCTTCCAGCTCCCGTTTCTGCTCAGTGACAACTCGTACTTTTCGACTCCCCTTTTTCTCCCTCCCTCACAAACACACACATAACGGGTTTGGCAGTCCCACACATTCTCCCTGCAGCACTGACTTCACTGCCCATGGGCTACATTCTTAAAGGCCTATGTCTGTAACACTGGTCAGATTGTGTTACAGGGACTTTATAAAACTAATAAAGTGTTAAGAAAACAATTCCTTCACATTTTACTATGAACAGTGGTGCTGCAAGCTTTGAATCATGGGGTGTACTTTATTTTTCACACGCCGTTTCTGCATTTTTGCTTAAGTTTTGTTAAATAGAATAATGACGCGGTGTAATATGTTACGAGGTTTGTTCATCCGAGGTTGAATTTACACAATTTTAAGACCTGCTATGTACCAGGTGATTTGTAAAGGACAAGATGTTTCCTCTGTGTTTGAAATTAGGTCGTAAATCTTGTGACTGAATGTGAATCGCAGATGATAACGATCAGTAACAATGCAACATAAAAAGCCTTTTCCAAGGAAGGCAACAACAGATTATCATGTTGTCCCCCTGTGACGTTTCCCAGTTACTCATGATTAAACACCCCCTCACTTGTCACCTGTTGCTGTCAGATACGGACTGTTTGTGCAGCCGTGCGGGTTAAAGTGCTCCTGCTGAGTCCTGTTTGTCTTTACCTGCTGCTGTGTGACGCAGGGCATCCAACGACAGTGGCCACGTTAACGTGTTTATGCTTCTAGTGAACTTTTACTGACGTGTTCATGAACCTCAGAGTTACATGCGTGCATTAAAGCCTCATATTGTTATTGTTGCTCTTACCACCAGTGCTGTTGTTACTGCTGTTTATTATTTTGTCATACAGGCATAGCCATTATTGTTGATACCCTCACAGTTACCCTGTGGGGTCTGAGAAATAACCCCAACCCTATGGTATCAGAAAATGTGACTTCTGGCTTTCAAATATTGTTCTTCCAAATCTTGGCAATGACAGGACAAAAATTATATATATTTAAGCATCTGTTGTCTCCAAATATGGAGTTAAGGGTTGTTTCTCCTCATTCATTTTGCAATCGGGACTATGGGTAATTGTCCCTACAACTTTTCCAGTTAATTTTTAAGCTTTTATTTTACTTATAATTAAGGCTGTAGCAACATGAACAAGACGACTGCCATACAGCATCCTCTGTGTAGAGACATTTGCTTTCATTTTAAAACATATGTATATATGTTGCTGCTTCAACTTAAGTGGATTAAGCCAGATGAGTTTAATATCACATGTCAAAATAAAACTAACTTCTAATTCTAATTAAGTTAAAAGTGGTTGTTGCGGTTTCAGTCCAGCAAATTGTATAATGAATAAACTCCTTATATGTCACTAGGAAACTAAGAGTACTTGTACACAAGGTTTTTAATTGACTTCCTGTGTCTCATGCAGCACACAGACACTGGTTTTATTAATATTTGATCAAAAACTGAACAAGAACATTGACTAATGGGAATCGTAATACGTTGTTTACACGGTTCACTGCCACACAAAGACTGGAGACCATGTCACGCATCCACAAGAATCAAAGTCTAAACACAGCTAATGTATCAGAGATCACACCATCGTTAAATTAAAGGTTCAAAGTTGAACATTAACAGTCCCATGAGTCTGTACTTTTGCTAGAGCACCATTGGAATTTTCAATTCCCTCACTACTGCCCTAAAAAAAAGACGTTGAACTGAAACAATGTAATTCAAATAAATATAAAGTATCTTTTTATTGTCTTTATCAAGCTGAAAAAAGCATGTGGGGGCGCTGGAGCTTAGTGTTGCTTGAAAAGTCAGGAGAGTCTTCTTAAGCGATGTTGTGATACATGCCCTGGTACCTTTGGTGTGTCACAGATTCAAACCAAAAAAAGTGGAGAGAAAAAAAGCTTATTTACTCTGCAAAGATCTTCTGAGGTGGCCTGGACAAAATGTGTGATATCTCTTGGTAGGGAGTATCCCAGGCTTCTCTTGTATCACACTGACACAGAGGAGAAAGTACAGAAATGCCAAGCAGGGTAAAGTTAAAGGCTGCGGGAACATCTCTGGGCAGCTTGATGTTCCTGTGACTACCCGCTGCTAATATTAGATGTTTAAGGCTCGTGCAGCTGCAGCCATCCTTTCTGGACGTAGGTGCAATTTCCTCATAAGCATTCATAATCTAAACTGGTTGTGCATAATTGTTTCATTTGTTAATTTGTGCGTGATTTTTCCGTGTAAGACAGAGTTCTGGAAGAGTAGAAGCAAAGACTGGGACTGTTTAACGTCTTATCCTTAATTTCGTCGTGTTGCCATCAATACAAACTTTGATTTCTGTCTCATAATGTAAATACTGTGTAGAAGTACTTTAGCCTTCTAAAGGAAAATTTAGGCCATTCGTATTGTGATGTTTTTCTGAGTTTCATATAAAATTATTTATATGAACAACTATTGTTGTACAAAATGCTTTTAACTTAAAATTAACCTTGCTTCTTTTCTTTGGTACACTCATTAGGTTAAGAGACTCAACCTCTGAGTGCTGCACACATTTAAAGTAAACAACTATACGTAACTTGGCAGTCTTCATATGCTCTATAAAATACACTGTCTCAGATAGAAGGATGCTGATTTTTAAGCTGGGAGTTTAATTTCAGTATGTTGTATAGCAACAGCAGGACACTATACAGCATTGTAGAAAAAGTCCCAATAATCAGACAATGCCCTGTTAGCAAGCACTTGAAGACAGTGGGAACCCCAACGGAACCAGACTTTTGCGGACAAATACCCCCACGCCCCCACCCCCAGTTAGTGCGGACAAACAAATACAACTGGCCAAAGACACAAGAAAATACTATGTACACTATTTATAGCAACATATTTGCCTGCAGAGTCATTCCAAATCCCAGCCAGAAGTATTATAAGAGAAAGACTTTAGTAAACACTCACGTAGGCAGAGGTCAAACTTAACCCGGCTTAAAATACAGTGGAAAGCTGTCTCCATCAAAACTGAGACCTTTCCACTGCCTGACAGTTTAGACACATGCAGAGGAGTGTGTCAGTGTGTGTGTGTGTGTGTGTGTGTGTGTGTGTTTGTTGAAATTCAGAATCATCTGACTGCCTCATCCTCAAGGGCTCAGCAGGTCACTCTTGGCTTTACTTCAGCTCCTTTTTTGGCTTTTGGCGCTCGTCCTTGTTGTGATTCATTTTGTCCAGCCTTCATGGGCCAGCAGCTTGCCTGCCTCAGAGGACAACACCCCCCCAAAAGAAAACCCAACCACAAGCCAAACAAAGTGATGCAATACTTTTTGCAGGGAACATCATGTGAGGGGATGAGTTGCAGACACAGGGTTTCAATAGTGGAGAGATACTCAGACTCTCCAGTAAAGTAAAAGTACCAATAAAGTTTAGTTAATATGCAGCAATCTCTAAAAAGCTTTCTACCTTTGGAGTTGCTGGAGATACAGCCAATTTACTTTGTGTATGGAGTTTAATCCATTTGTTTGCAGCCTATAGAAGTCAGGCCTCCTGCAAAGGGTATATAAGATAAGTCTGGGGGGTCATGAGACCATTGTTTGTGAATGAAAGAAGCAAAACAAAGCTGTGGCCTCCTCAGTGGAGCTGTAAACAGGTAATCAGCATCTGTGATAAGGAGCAAAAACAAGTGTTTTTGTCCTGTCATGGTTTTTTCGTGGGGGCTGGAAACCCCTGACAAACATTTTAATTGAGCTACATAAAATCTCAGTGCTAAAAACATAGCTAAAACTGTAATATATATGCAATGCAGTACAGTAAAAAAGTTTCCCCATTGTTGTAGTTATGTTTATGTATTGTAGCACAGAATGGAAATACTCAGGTCACATAGTTAATGGACCACTTACACAAGAAATATGTCAAATACAATAGAAGAAAATGTGGCAAAAACTACCATACTGTGCATGTGATTGAAACAAAATGTAAATTTGAATACTCTTGACAATACATATCTAATCTATTCAGCGTACAATAAAATGTAATAAATATTCTCCTTAAAATTATTAAACTACCTACCTTGAATTCTTCTTTATCATTCATTCTTCATATTTTTTTAAAATAATTTTTAAAATATTCTGTACAAATAAAGAGATACTTTTCTTCTTATTATAATAATTTAATATTCTACTTGTGGATTTTCTGTTGTTATTATTATATTTTCAATCAATAAAGATTTATTTATGTTTTTGTTAATTATTATATTGAATTAAAATCTATTAAGTGGTCATATAATAATTAGTTGCTTCAAATTTTATTTTATTTTATGTAAACGTTCTGCGGAGCTTCTTGCACATAGGCCGTAATGTAAACCCCGTGGCCGCCAGTTTCCAATGGAAGGAAAAACAGGATTGGTTAATATTTCAAATTGCAGACTAAACCGGCCACAGGATTGGTCAATTTCCTTCGCTCACTCGCACACAAAAAAAAAGAAAGGAAAAGGCGGGACCGAGTCCAGCCCATCAATGGGCGGCCTCAGTTATTCGTCCGTAGTAAAAATGACGTTTTGTCTTCATTGACGAGGGACGGACCAATTACGTAGCTATTCTGGAAGAGGCGTGGACTTCTGACATTCTTTAGTAGCCGGTCCTTCCTTACCGGCATTCAGTATTGTCCCGGACAGGGCAGACGCAACTTTGTGATATTTATTTATTTATTGAAGTTTTAATTTACCAAAGATGCTCGGCCTGTGCCTTTACGTCCCCGTGTCTAACTCGGACCCGATTGAAGTGGAATATTTCGAGTCTAACGGACTTCCATCTGAGTTGAAGTCTCTTTTTAACAAACTCAGCGTGTTCCTGCCGTCCCAAGAGTTTTCAGCCTACCAACGATGGCGAAAGGTAGGAAATAAGTTAACTAACACAGTCAGAATAACCTAGTTCGTAACATTGATTAGTCTGAGCGCCACAAATCCGTTCACTCCGGCGACCGGAAAGATTAGCGCGCAGTAGTAAAAGCCTTACGACTAGGCCGCAAAAAAGACCGGTTTCGAGAAAATTCACGAGAAGATTCCGGGCATTTTTGCTGCAACTTTAACGTAACAGCTGTATTTAACCTAAATGACATTGAAAAGTAATCAATATTTGTTGATTTAAGCCTGTTACTGCAAACTTTAAAACTTAACCGAGCCGGTTCGGGCTGAAAAAGACTGCCATTCAGCTTACATGGGGAAAATCCACCCTAAAAAGGAATTCCGGCCATGCGCTTACACTGAAAGAGGGCAGCTAGAAGCCGGTATCATTCGCTATATGTAACTGAGAAAAAGTAAATCGTGTGCATAAGTACAAAAGTTGTTTAATTAGCTGTTCCCGTTTCTAGGTCATGCGTTTCTCCCTGATGTCCTTGAGGTCTTTTACTACTCTGAAACTGATGGTTTTGGGGCAGGCAGATCCCATATAGCTATGACTCGTGGTGCATCTGTAATCCTAGGAATGCTGACCCACCACTGACTTTTCATGTTTTAATTTCACGATTTCATAACAATGTGATTGTTTTAAATGCATCTGTCAACACAAATTAAATTATTGGGAAGAAAAGGTTTAGAAACCACTCTAAAAAAAATCTGTCATTATTTCAAGTTTTAAAAGGTGCCCAGTGCCTTATCCAGTACATTTTATCTATGGGCCTTTTTGGGGGGTTAAGAGGCTGGGGCTCATTAGGATTTGCTCATAATTGTGTTTTTAAACGTGTTTTAATCAAGGTTATGCAAAGACTTAAAGTCTGCAGCAGTTTGTCTTTGGCATCTCAGGCTTCATGAACTGGCACAAAATGGCCCTTTTAGCTGTGCTTTAAGTCACACTGATGCACTCCTGCAGGGAGTAGGGTGCAAGCTGCAAATATCTGCAGATGGGGTATCGGGTTCAGTCATATGCCTACAGGCGGTCTGGGCAGCAGGTCAGGCGGTATCAGTCAATGATAGCAGTATATCCCGGTCTTATTTTAGCCCTGCAGGTTTCAACCTAGACATGGATTAAAGCAGTTGGCTGGGTCAGCCTGCAGTTGAGGGTGAAGATGGACAAGGGTGTTATTACCTAATACCCTAATAGGCCCAGGAGAAATAGATGTCATTCAAGAAAGCCAAGAGGCTTGTGGCCTGGCAAATGGTCATAGCTGCCCTTTGGGTAATAAAAATCAAGCTGAGGGGACACCTTTAATGCGCCAGTGGGTCTCCAGGGCTGGTTTATGGTCACTTGTCTAATCATTTGGGAGGCATCAGTTACAAGGTACATTTCAAACTTGCTGTACTTGTTTCATAAGACATTGTTAAACTCTCAGGGGAGATGACTACTGCATACCATTGCTAAATGTCACCTTCTACTCCTCCATGAAGCTGACTCACTGGATTGGAATCAGTAAATCAGATTATTCAAATTCTGCCGTCTTGTCTGACTCTGGTTTTATTTCTTCTTCACAGAAAACATTAAAAAGGGAAGAAAACAACTCGGACGGACAGCTGGACTTTGAGGAGTTTGTTCACTATCTACAAGACTACGAGAAAGACCTGAAGCTTGTGGTGAAGAGTCTCGACAGGAAGAATGCAGGTATGTGGCAGGAGATAGAGTCATGCTCTTTGTTTCACACGAAACTCCTCGAGTGGTTTCGAATTTCACTTTGTGTCATTTCCGCAGCTTTAAGTGTGAAGGACGCATTTTCTCACAACGTGTCTTTGCTTCCTTTTAAAGGCCGCGTTGACCCTAAAGAGTTCATGCAGTCGCTCCGTGACCTTGGTGTGCATATTTCTCTGCAACATGCGGAGAAAGTCCTTAAGAGGTAAAAAAAATATATATATGTATATATCTTTTTAATCTTTGGGATTTTAGATTTTGATTGATTTATTTATTTATTTTTTAAGGAAACAATGTCTCATCATTTTATACATTTATTTATTTTAAAGCATGGATAAGAACGGCATGATAACAATCGGCAGTAAAGACTGGAGCAAGTATGCCATGGTGGAGAAGACGGAGAACATTCCTGAGATCATCCTTTACTGGAAACACTCCACGGTTAGTACTTCACACTGAAACCAAAAGTTTTGCCCAAAAAAGGGAACAAATCTGCTGCTTTGACCTTCAGAGCCTAAAACTAGAGACAAATCATTAATGTGCCAAAATTAACTTTATGAAAGAGAAGTAGAAAATTCTGCTCTTGCATAACCTTTCACATGTCCTACTTTTAGCTATTCTTGGTTGATAACTTTATCATCATATGCGATAACAATAACATAGCAAAGGCAAAAGTTCTTACACCCTCCTGTTGAGTGGGTCAATTAAAGAGCAAATTCCCAGAAAGGCCATGAGCACAAACCATGCGTCAGCAATTAAGCTCTTAGGCCATGAAAGGAATTGGGCTCTTTCCTGCAGGATTATGTTGGAAGGATTTGTCTCGGTGCTGTTATGTAAAGGAGAGCAGCAGCAGCGGTCAGAGCAGGTGCAGACTGGAGATGTAATATAGCACAGCTCCCGGAGGAACACATTCTGATCTCAGGGGCAGAACAAGTTATTTTAGAGCTAATGAGACTAGCAGACTCGCCTGGCGGCACAAGCCGGCCTCAAGCTGAGCAGAGATGTAAAGTGCTGGATCATTTCAGACTGCAGAAAGTCAGGTCAGATGTCAACCTGCACAGTTTTATCTCCATAAGAGTCCCAGAGAGAGAATAAGAAGGCAAAATGCTTGAGGTTTGTTTTGTTTTTTCTTTTAAAGGGGGCAAAGCTAGAGGTTTTAAACAGATCCCTGACCTATATTCTCAACATGTCTTCCTTTGAAAACAATCCCCGTGTTCTGACATTTGCTGTGCTGGTGGGGGGATGCTTACACATTTAACCTGCAGTCACACATGAGCTCACATCATGTGGCCCACATGAGAGAAATGTTCAGATGTTAACACAAAGGATTTTTACCACATGTTGGTTAAGAATAGAAGCTTGACACAAAATGGGTCCTGTTCCAAAATGTTCAAGAGTGGTCCATGTGAAACTAACCTCCACTCTGTCCTTTGTAATCTCTTCATGTATGTTTCCATAATGAGAGTAATTTCTGTTAGTTGCCGAGACAAAATGACTAAAACCTCTACTAGGGGTTTTTTGCTCTCTATATCTGACCATTCCTGTCATCTTCTGATCAGATATTCGATGTTGGAGAGAATCTCATGGTCCCCGATGACTTCACCATTGAGGAGAAGCAGACTGGGATGTGGTGGAGACATCTGGTCGCAGGTGGAGGAGCAGGAGCAGTTTCGAGGACCTGCACTGCCCCCCTGGATCGACTCAAAGTCACGATGCAGGTAAGATCGACTTGGACCTCTTAATACACTTGAAGCAGCTGTTGATCAAGTGCAGGCACATGATGGGCCTGTGAAGAGGAAGTTGTGGAAATTTCTCCGCTTGTGGGTCTTATGACTAAAGCTGTCGGGCATTTAAAGTGTCCGCTGATGCATGACATGTTAAACGTTACTGAGATTTTAGCTCTGAGTATTTGTGGCCATTATGGTTTGAAATTGCTCAAGCGCCCGTCACCTAACGCTCACAAGCAAGTTAACGTTTAACAGTGTGTAACGGCAAGGGGCCAGAGTCCAGGCAATGACCAATGACTGCTCTCAAACCGCTGTCACACCCTTGGCTTCATAGTACTCGCTGTCATCCAAGCTCAAACTACCCATACTAAATGTGTCATCATCCCCATGGTGTGCGTCAGGAGACTTTGTCCTATTGATTAGATATTCACCCAGTTGGCTTAGATTTGGTTAAAAACATGATGACCCACATGGCACCATGCCCAAGTCATCCCATAATTAGTGTAGTAGTTTAATCAAATACAATATTCTTCCTCCCCCAGGTTTACGGATCCCGAACCAACAACATGTGCATCATGAGCGGACTCATGCAGATGATCAAAGAAGGTGGTACGAGGTCCTTGTGGCGAGGAAATGGTGTGAATATCCTCAAAATTGCCCCCGAGTCGGCCCTCAAGTTCATGGCTTACGAGCAGGTATGATGGATTTATCAAGGGACGGGTTTAATGGACGAGGCACAGTGTTCTTGATGTCATTTGCTAATCTGTTCTTTCTCAACTTGCTTCTCCAGATTAAGCGTTTAATCGGCAGTGATAAGAAAGCTCTGAGCATCCTGGAGCGGTTTGTTGCAGGATCTTTGGCAGGAGTGATTGCCCAGAGCACAATCTACCCCATGGAGGTGATTATCTCTTTAATTAGATCTATCCTGTAGCGTTGTGATGCCTCTGTCGCGACTGTACAGTCAAAGCTGACGTTATCTGTACTGAATCTGTTCCAGGTGCTTAAAACCCGTCTCGCTCTGAGGAAGACCGGCCAGTATGCTGGCATCACTGACTGCGCCAAGCAGATCTTCAGAAGAGAAGGCCTCGGCGCGTTTTACAAAGGATACGTCCCCAACATGCTGGGCATCGTGCCCTATGCGGGCATTGACCTCGCAGTGTACGAGGTGAGCAGTCACAAGCATACATTGTTTGGAAATCCCCAGAACTCCTACAAAATAAAATTCAAACTGAGACTGTAGATTGACCTTTTTGTTTTCTCTCCATAGACGCTAAAAAACACCTACCTCCAGCAGTATGGCACCAACAGCACAGACCCCGGTGTGTTCGTCCTGCTGGCCTGCGGCACAGTGTCCAGTACCTGCGGTCAGCTCGCCAGTTACCCCCTGGCTCTGGTCCGAACCCGCATGCAAGCACAAGGTGAGGCCTCAATACTGACCTGTTACTCCATCAGTAGCAGACGGTTTTATACATTTAGTAACTTAAAAATAACTGGATAGTAACTGTATTTGAACACAAGTCTAAGCTTGTCCATTTTTAACCCTTTCAGCTGCAGTAGATGGCGGCCAACAGCAGGTGACCATGTCCAGCCTCTTCAGGCAGATCCTGCAGAACGAGGGGCCCACTGGGCTTTACAGAGGCCTGGCCCCCAACTTCCTTAAAGTCATCCCTGCCGTCAGCATCAGCTATGTTGTGTACGAGCACCTGAAGACACAGCTGGGAGTGACCTCAAGATAAGGCTCCCTAGTCCCCCACCCCTCACCCTCCCAAGGCTCATGCTAGGAATCCCCCCCGGGGGGCTTTCAGGCCCCTCCAGAGGTTCGCGGAGCCATTTCATTCTGTGAATGTCAGCTGATGAAAGACTAGAAAGGACACGACGAGGTGGAGGTTATGGACTCTGTGAGCTCAGGATGTCGTGACTGCTGCTATTACCTTTAAAGAGAAGCTGAACGGTGACTGTATGAGAAGCAAGGACCAAATATTTTTGCTCTTCTCTTGAGTGAATCTTGGTGGATAAAGCATTAAAATGCACGGAGTGAAATGATTGTCCCAGACGGGAAGATTTTTGCACACAGTTTGAATTTCTCTCCACCCCTGAATGAATGACTGAGTGACTGACTGACCGGAGTATTTATTACCACCCGTCCTGTATTTATTGTTTTATTTAGAAAGGGAAGTAAATCTTGAGCCAAAATGTGCAACTACATAAATCAGCCTTAATGTTGATAACTACGTGTAGTTGTCTGAAATGGTGAAAACGGGGCGGGAAAAGAAACTTTGCTGATGCAATGAGATCGTTGATGTGTTTAGTCGCCCTAATTCTTGTTTAATTGAATGTTACTTAATGTTCACCTCAGGTTAAAGGGCTGCTTTTTTTTTTCTTCTTTTTTTTCTTTCTTCATTTTAAAGAAGAGCATGTGTATTTAGAAAGTGAAAAGACAGACGGCATAATGCACTTTAATTAAAGCTAGTAAGCCTCTAAATGATGTTGTCAATGCCGACTTAGTGTTTTAATGGACCATTTTCGATGCAAATAAATGGAAATTATAAATCTGTCTCATTTCTCTTTTTTTCTTTTCCCCTGAAATTCACACACTGAAGCTCAAAAAGGCTGAGGGGTACACTTCAACTCCTCCAGACTGAGAAGTTTGGTAGTCTTACATATTTGTGGTGTTTGGAGGGTTTTCCTAATGCAGATCGTGCATGTGATGAAAACAGAAGTGGAACCTCAGCAGACAGGCTTCTTATTTTTAAACTGCACATGCCTGGGTGGTGCATCTGTAATATCCAAAAGTGGATCTTTTCATTGCTTCCAAAACAAGAATTGAGTGATTACGTGGTATATAAATGCACACAATGGCTACGATCAGCAACATTTACAGAGTGAAGTGACCCTGAAGTGTCTGGCAGATGTGATAACTGCATGGTTCCAGACAACTAGTCCAAAATATTACCTCCTACCTCCCTTTTCCCAATCACTTTTCCTTGAACTCATTTGTCAGTTTTTCTTGGGAAGGTTTGTGAAAGTATCTGGAATCACAAGCTTTCCTTTCACAAACAGTTCAGTTATATAGGAAACATTGAAGCTCTTTTTCTTTTTAGAGATTTTAACTAGCTCTGATTGTGGCCACAGATTCTTCAGGGTCACTTCACACCTGGGAACCTTCCTGGAGGATTTGATGTTATGAGATTATTTCAGAAAAACTTCATGTTTTGAAGAAGAGCTTTGTAATTCCTTTCTTTTATTCCTTTTATTTTCAGTGTCCAGGGTGCGAGGGGTCCTTGCTGATGATACTGGCTTTCTGTTGAAGTCTGCCAGTATAAATGTCTCTGAGGGGGATTAGTGAAGTGTCAGTTGCCCACTCTGCCGCCCTCACTGCCCACTACAGTTTTCTCTTGTCCTCCACAGTACAGCAGTAGGTCAGAAGGCTCTCGATGGTGGAGCGGTATAAGTTAATTAGCAGTTTTTGTGGTAACTGGGCCTGTCGCAATTTCCTCAGAAAGTATAATGTAATTATGTGCAGTGTTGTGCAAAAGTCTTGAGCCACTTCTAATTTCTTTATATTTTAAGTGGTGTGTTTCTATCCAGGCATGCTTTTACTGCACTGACAGTGTTTTAGGGATCATTGTCATGGTGAAAATCTGATGCTTTTCCCACCCAGTTTCACATCTCAAACTTCACAGTTTCAAATGAAGCTCAGAACCATGACAGAGGCTGTAGACACTTACATACTGACTCAAACCAAACATTTTAGATTTGGATTCATCACTTCATAAAACCTGTTCCCAATGATTTTCTTCTGCTTTTCTTGTGCACGAATGATTCATAGGTCAATATTCATGATTTCCCTGAATACGGTCAGTTACGAGTACTGGACTGTAAATGAGAGAAAAAGCAGGGCATTCAAAAAGCTTGGAAAACTATTGCTCAAGGGCACCTAAAAAAATAGAAGAAAGTCTGGCTCCTTGGAAGTAAAACAAGAAGAAATGAAAAGACTTTCACACTGAACAGAGTAATACACACACCTGCATGGACTACACTCATTTGAATGTTTATACCAGTATTTGTTATCTTGTAAGTGTTCTGGTCTGTATCAGGTTTTGTCCTGTTCTCTGTCCTATCATATGTTTCAAAAACAAAAAGAAAGAAAAAAAGAAAAGAAGGATTGGCACCCTGTGCACACTGGAACAAAATTAAAAGACTGTATTTTATTTTCTTATCTTGCATGTGACAAATTATTATTGTTTGCAAACAAAAACACTTGGAAGCTGCAAATCTTAAGTTAAAATCTTGAAAAGAGACATTGTGTCATAGTGAATACTTTCGGTTTTGATTACTTAACACAGGACATTTTTCTTTAACCTTGTGGCATTTTTATTTTTAAGTAAAGCACCTACTTATATCCACCACTGGGAAAAAAAACCCCCACCAAACCCCCCCCGATAATTATATTATTAATATTAATATAAATTTGTTGACTTGATAATTTAATGGCGCTCTCAGCAAGATGATTTGTGGCTTACACAACATTTTGATTATATGTCAGATTGTTTTATAACAACATCTTCAATAAGTGCTATATAATAAAAAAAAATACCTCAAATTTATAAAAATGATGTTGATTTAACCTCCCACTAAGTCTTACATATTTGTAAGTAAGTGTGTGGCACATTAACCCTCTAACAGTAACGTTTCTTGACACTTCCTGTGCAGTTTCCGATAATCAGCTGCTTCCCAGAAGCTTCAGACAGTTTCTAGAAGCTTCTCGGTGGCAGCCAAAGATAAAGAGCAGGCTAAACTCTCTGCGCTCACTTAATTACAGAAATGGATTAGCCATTACCCGCAAAACTACCTGTGAGTTAATGAAACAGATGCTCGTGTCAACCTTTTTTACACACACAAAAAGGGAGAAAAAAGTGACGTCACTGTTTTCTAAGAATTTTTATTGATGGGGAAAAAACGATTTTTAAACTCGAAATTAATCTTTTTAACCCTTCTTTGGCCCTGGGACCATTTTTGGTCCCTTTAGTTTTTCAGTTACAAGCCATTTGCACTGTGTTGAATGAAATATAGCCAAATTCTCTAAAAAAAAGTTTGGCATAATTTCATTTCAAAATTCAAGTCTGACTTCCTTAAAATAAACGGTGCTTTAATGTAACATTAGCCGACGTATTTTACTATTGCGAAAACCTTTTGCGCATGGTCAGTTCGAACGGTTTGACCTATACAGGCCGCCGTAGGGAAACAAGGAAGTAGACTGAATGAACAACATAAAAACAGAAGTCGGTTGTTTTATTTTTGATTGAATGCGTATTTACGCCTGTAATCGACTCCAGATTATTTTCTACATTTCTACATTTGCTTTGTAGTATATTTAAAAGTTTCTCGGTCTTTATTTAATATATATGTGTTTATTTCGGTAATGCTAACCTTCTTAGCTGGCTCGTTAGCAGCGGTGACAGGTGACAGGTGCTTTTATTAATATGGTGCAGAACGTGTTTCGGAGCGGGTTTCTGGTCCGGGTCGCTCACACACTGCTCACCTGGATCATAACCGTCATTCTGTTCCTGCACAACACTAGTAAGTCACTCAGACTGCAACCAGCTAGCTTTTGGCCGTTAGCAACAGGATGGAGCTGAATGGTAGTTGGGCTCCAATTACAAGGATTTTTATTTTACTTGAGCATTTTCGAGTATCTTTATTATTTATATTACCTACATTTATTAAGGGAAATTATGTAGTTGTTACCACCTGACATGTATCTGTCAGTTGCTGTTACAAGTTACTCCACAAATTATAATATTTTTATTTAAAAACACAAGAAATGAGCCTAAATAAAAATAGATACATAAACCTCCAATAAATATATATTTTTTGGGGTTAAAAATGGTCATATCATAATTAAATATTTTTAAATTAAATATTTCAATGCAACGCCTTTCCAGACTGAATAATTTGTCATATATATTCAAATAATAAAATTTTAAATAAAAATAAAAAAATAAAATCCAATATCTGATGTACAGTGGCCTTAATATACTCATATGAACCCATATAATAATATGGGTTTTTTTTTTAAGTTGTATACAAGTAGAGTTATAATGAAGAAAGAAGTAATTTCCCATTTGTTTTAACAACTTGTGACTTTACAGTCTCAACGAATATGAAGATTTTTTTGTTTGTTTTGTTTTTTTGTCTCTTGTACATTTTCAATATCAAGATTAAAATAAAGTATATTATCCCTGAGGGGTAGTGTGCTTTGTAGTCAGCAGCATAGATAACACATACACCCTGAAACCCCAACAAATCACATAATTAAAAATTAATAGTGGTAGGAACAAGTGAGAATTTAAATCTGTTTGTTCTGCAACAAGTCAAAGAATACCTCCGCTCTGAAGGCAACAGCTGATACTATGAAAACAGTGGATGTATGCTATGACCCAAAGTCCTTTCCGCTGTTAGGGTTGCCCTCTCTCCACACAGGAGGGCAAGATTATTTAGCTGCCACATTTCTACATAAATCTTGGAGAATATCTTACTTTTTGTTAGCTCTTACGTGTGTGTGTGTGTGCGTGTGTGTGTGTGTAGGCTTGCGGAGATGTGAGGAGCAGGGAGAGCTGCTGCTGCCGGCTCTCTTCTTCTTGCTGGTCGTTCTGTCAGTGCTGTTGTACTTTGCCGTTTCCCTGATGGACCCCGGCTTTGTGCTCAATGACACTGTCAAGGTGAGTTTAATTAAAAAGACTTGGATTACAAATTCAAAGTAGATCCTAATTTGAGGGCTGGCTGTGGCTCAGCAGGCAGGCAGGCAGAAGGTTCAATCCCTGGCTGCTCCAGTCTGCATGCCAAAGTATCCTTGGACAAGATACTGGACCCTGAGTTTCTCCTGATGCGTTTATCAGAGTCAGTGAGAACATTAGATAGAATGGATGAATGAGACATGTTGTGTAAAGCTATTTGAATGCTCAAATAGAGTTGAAAAGCACTATATAAGAAGCAGTTAATTGACCTTCTTTAAGGATTAAAACACTTTGTGAAAGGTTGGTTTCATAATGTTTTGTAATAGTGGTGACCACTAACTGCCTTTTCTCTGCTGCGGAGAGGTCAGCAGTGATGTGATGTTTTCTTATCAGCAAATGGACTAAAACCTGTACTAACCTGTGATTAATGCTGAAAGGTTGCAGTGTTTCTGTGTGCGTGTGAACACTTGTGACTGACGTCTGTTTGTGTTACACAGGGCGCTCAGAGTCCGAATGAAGAAATGGAGGCGATGATCCCTCAGTCATCGACCCCTCGTTTGAGGCGCTGTGGATACTGCCTGCTGCAGGTAACCAGCTGCTGCCAGCTGCTGCCAGCTGCCAAATTCCAGTGCTCACCAAGTTTGACGTGACCGCATTTCCAACTCATCAAATTCTGTGTGTTGGGTTTAAATGGTGTCTTTCTGCATCATATGTCAGGAGAAGCAGCTGATATTAAAATGGTGCCAAAGACACAAACATCCTCCTCCTGAAAGAAACTTGGCTTTCAAAATATTGTGAATTTGAGGCTACATCCACACGTACACGAGGATTTCTTAAAAACTGGAATTTTCCTCTTTTGTTTATAAGACCCCGTCAACAGCAACACTGTTTTGCATCACAAGTCACAAGAAAAAACTCAAAAACAAAACGAGGCCATGAACTGTCAAAAGTGCCACAGCAACAGGTGGTAACATAACTCTAACCATACAGGAATGTTGACCAATCAGAAGCCTAGGTGTATCACTAACAAACAATAAGACAACACACAGTCTCATCTCACAAAAAAGGTGACACTGCAAAACAAAGTCTTAATTTTTCCTGAGACAAAAAGCTAATGAAAAGCTCAGTTTTCAGCAGCCTAATACCACCACTTACATGACCTGTGTGTGTGGACAGGACCTCAGGCTGACTGTTGGTTGGACTGCGTGAAAGTATTTGATGGGACGATGGAAGCTACATGGTAGCTGAGCTTACTGGAAAGCAAAAAGTAAATAAAAAGAAGTATCTGTTGGAATAGAGGCCATTTCTGTGGCTTTGGCTCTGCTTTTAACACGCCTTTGTGCACCAGAAATCTGCCCAAGTATGAAACACGCCGAGGTCTTAAAATGTGAAATCGAATGGGTAATGTCACCGCAGCTTTGTCCAGCTTTTATTTGTTGGCACGCCTGTTAATCAAAGCGTCCACACCTCTGAGTTTAAGTTATATAAAAAAAACAAATAAAAAACATTATCTAAAAAGGTTAAAACTGTTTTTTTCACCAGGCTATAAACATGTTCTGCTTTGAAGTTCAGACTTTGCACCTGCCAGTCAAGAAGAGCCACAGACTCACCTTTGTCATTGTTTAAAGATTTATGATGTCCAGTCATTTTCTTTGGTTAACAACCAAACTGTGTTTTTTAAATTTGCTACATTAAGTCTCATTTTATTTTTTCTTCTATAATTAAATAAGCCCTGCAAACTGGCTCACAGACACTGTCAGAGTTTGCAAAGACTCAGTTGTAGGCCAGCATTAACCAAATTCCCCCTGTGCATTGGTTCATTCAAGTATGGAAGCTTGTTTCCATCATGAAAGAGAAAAAGAAAGTTTTGCCAGACAAAGCTCAGTCAAAACCTTTTGTACTGTATTTTTTCAGTGGCAGAAAAATGTTCTCTGTGTTGATCTCAGCCACACCCATGTATCTTACCCCTATTTCCTTATCAGGGACTTTTACAGCCCAACAAATGTTCTTACGGCCCTGAGGCGTTGTCTGCGAGTCTGTTTGCAGCACTGATTTAATTGCAGAAAGAGCTGCAGATTGATTTTCTTTTAATCAACTAATCAGTGCAGCTGTAGAAGGATTTAACTTTCTCTTTTGGTTGCATTACCCAAAAGAAACCATCTAAAAAATCTGGAGAGCGATCAACCTTTCCTAGTAACAGCACCTTTATTTTATTTTCTCTCCATGTGTGTCAAGCAGCAGCCAATGAGAGCGAAGCACTGCCACATGTGTAAACGCTGCGTCCATCGCTTCGACCACCACTGCCCGTGGATTGAGAACTGCGTGGGAGAGAGGAACCACCGCTGGTTCATCATCTACCTGCTGGTGCAGCTGCTCACCCTGCTGTCGGGCCTTCACGTCGCTCTGTACGTCTGCTAAATGCCTCCGCCCGTCTCCAGCCTCTAAGATAAATGTCCTTATCTGCTGGGAATATTTGTGGCCTCAATTTGCCTTCCAGCAGTGACTCAGTGAAAACTTATCTTGTACTGAGTGTACTCTGCTCTGCCGCTTTATCTTTAGAAGGAATTGGGTAACTTGTGACTTTTGGAGAATTGTGACTTTTGGAGAACATCACTGAACTGAGTGGTTAAATTGTGTAAGGATGATCTGTGACAGGTTGCTTAAGCACACTTATAAAGTTCAAGTCGTCTTCATTTTAAGGTTTCCAGTTAAAGGCACCGCTGTGGAGCAGAGGTTTATGTGCACACACAGAGGCAGAAGTAAGCTCTGTGGTAATTAAACTTTACTGGGTAATAATCAGAGATTATCAGCTGAGTAAAGCATAAAAGAAAACACTTGGGGTAATGTGGGCAAACCTTTCAACAATATTTCATGACATTTATTGAAACCAGTGTTGCCCTGGACACAGAAGAATGAATTTAAAAAAAACATGTCAGTTTACACTTTGCAAGCTTCTGAGTACAGGCAGCCAAACAGCTGGCAGCCAAACAGCTGGCAGCGTGGTTGTTAAACACCCATTTTTATACATCTAAATAAAATCTGAAATGTGCCTTTAGTCAGGAGAATTGGTGACAACAAAGATGATGTAGCATGTTCTGTTTCAGATTTTGTTAATTCATTCACTCCCAAAAATACATAACCGATATTTCGTGTTGCCCTGTGAAAAATGTAATATTTTAAATTACTCTATCAAGGTAATGTAATGTACTACATCCCGCTTAGTTTTATAGCAGATGTTTAAACATTGAGACATGCATGTATTCCCTCTGGCCTACAGCGATGTCCCCATCAACCAAAAAAGAAACCATTAGTGTTTTTGTCCTGTCAGGCAGCAGGCTTCTCATCAAAGATAAATCATAGACTGTATATAAGCGCTGGACATAACCACTGTGACGTGACCAACGCTGTCATTTTTAAAGAGTCATTGTTTTTTTTTTGTGTTACCACTGCGTTGCTGTTTTGCTGTGTGCCGGTCTCTGTGGCAACACTAAAAATTGAAGTTCGTCCAATATAGTAATGAGTAAATGGGATTTTTATTGAACTCACCAGTTAATCCAGGTGTGCTGTAGCAGCTAGTTCTCCATTGGGCCTCTGAACTGAACAGTTTGAGCGTTTTTATGCTTTTGATGCCTTTTTCGAGCATTTTTAATGGATTTGACTAAAAGTTTGTGCTTCAGTTTTGGTGGTTGCGCTTCTAGTATTTTGTTATTAACAGATGCATATGTGGCTGTGCTCTGCAACCGTCAAGAAGCTGATAACTTCTTCAACCTTGATTTCAGTTTCAAAATATGGCATCCAGAAGCAGTGGGTGACCTCACTATGGTTGCAGACTATCCATAGAAGGCAAGCAGTTTGTTTAAACTGAAGCAAGCCTCAAGTGGACTTTAGAGGAACTGCAGTTTTTTGCATTTCATCATTGTCTTCTGCTTTGTATATAAGATTAAAAAAAGAAGCATGCATTCTATACCTACTAGTCAGTATTCAGGGTGAGAACAGGCTTATGATGTTCAGTTGTTTGCTTATCAGCAAATTCTGTGAACAACCAAACTGATGATGATTTTAATCTTGCTAAATTATGTTTAGTTTTCTTATAAACAACTTTTTATGGGACAAACCAGTGAATTAATCCAGCTTTTTTTTCTTATGATGAACTTCTGTTATAGCCAAACAGATCTAAGTTTATTCCTGTTGTGTAATTTCCTTGTGTTTCAGGTCAGGCATTTCTCCTGCTCTTACGTGGGAGCAGTGGTTCAGGGTGAATGGCTTTCTGCTGGCAGCGTTGTGCATAGTCGGGATTTTCTCCGTGGTTGTGGTGGTGCTGCTAGGCTCCCACTTGTACCTGATTTCTATCAATTGCACCACCTGGGAGTTCATGTCCCGCCACAGGATCTCATACCTGAAGACCTGCAAGGACGAGGAGAATCCGTTCGACCGTGGCGTCCTCTGCAACTTGTGGGATTTCTTCTGCATCTGCAGGACGGTGATGTGGGAGAAGGTTTACCACAGAAACACGTTGAATCCAGTCTGACCCCACAGAGGCTGGAGTCAACTAATCTCTGACTGGTTTTGTATTTTCACAAAGATGAAAACAGGAGAATGAGAAAGTGTTTGTCTTTAATTGTTTTATCCAGATACAAAAATCAAAAGGAAACTTTTTGGACTGAAACAGCAGACCGTCTCAGGAGGATTGTAATCACTCTGGTGCTCCCAGCAGTTCCTGTTCTTGGCTGGAAACTCGGACTTGTTTTCATGTAACAAATTAATCCAAACCTCAGAGGTATCTGTGCGCAGTGTTGCCTTAACACAATCCCTTTACCCGTATTTACAATTAACATTGAAACACACGTTCAGTGTTGGTGTTTCACCGTGTGATGCGCAACAGCTGATGTCACGGGTTTGCATGTGGGGGTGTTTTTGACGTGTGTCACTGGCTCCGTTTGATTATTCCAGCTACACTTTGAGAAGGTCAGCGGACGTAAATAAATAAAAGAACCTGATAGTCCGCACATCTCTTAATATGGAAAGGATAACTGGAGTTGGACCTTGTTTCAGTCTCAGCACCTTGTTAGTGCTGCCTGTGATTTTATGAACCAAAAGATGCACTTAGTGTTAACGGCACATTAAAGGGCTCATTTTTATTCTTGGATTCTAGACTAGCCTTCCATGATTCAAGGCTCAAAATAATCTTTGGTACAGCCTCTCAGTTCGTTCTCTGTCTGAAACAAGCTGCTTTAACTCCTCCCTCTTTAAACAAACTGTCTTCTGTTTGGCTGTTATCTGCAAACAGAAGGTTTGAACACCCAGTGGGCGGGGCTTCTAAGCTAAAAGAGCATAGGCTGTGTATAGAAGTTGGATTTAGTTGATGTGATGTGACCACTGGTTTGCAAAGGCTCGTCTTAAACACTTTCCCCCATAAACAGGACATCTGAACACTTAATGAAGAGTTATTCTTCGTCTAGCTATCGTCTTTGCTTGTTGAAACCAGACACCAGTCACAAAGCAAACCACGCTGCATCATCATCATATATTAGGGATATACAAAGAACAGAAGAACAGTTTGAATCTGAGCATTAAGAGCAGTCTGAAATCTCAGCTTTTGGCTCTCAGTTATGTTTGACTCTTCAGTCAGAAAGAGGAAGAGAAGGAAAAGCAGATCCATGTTAAGTGTTTTCTGAATGTCAAACTGAGCTCTCTTGCCTTGAAGTTAGGTGGTGTTTAAAATATCAGTGTACAAGTGGCACATAAGTTGTTTGGGTTTTTTTTAAAAAGTTGAATAAAAGACAAAAATAAGCACTAAATGTGATTGAAACACTCAGGTTTGGTCACTGCTCTCTGTAAAGCACGGTTGTCAAATATAAGGCCCGGGGGCCAGAATTGGCTCAGCAAAGACTCCAATCTGGTCCATGTGTGAAATTTGTAACGCTGACAGAAGGGAGAAGTTTGACATCCCTGCTGTGAAGGTTTCTGTTGTTAAGTGATGAGAGTGGTGACCCCACATTATTTACACTAAATGCCTTTAAACCTGCTGATGTTTGGTACCTGCCTGTAAACTGATGTCAGTAAGTTCATTTTTTACCAAGTTTTAACTGTAATGTTCTGTTTGTATTTATTGACAACAAAGAGTACATTAAAACACAGATGATATGCATATCGTTATAGAGTACATCTGTACACACTGACATTCCCAGTCAGGATTCACGTACATACATAGAGTACATAAATACATACAGTACTGACACAGAAGTAACATGTAATATTCAGCAGCATAAACTTAAAGTGCTACAACAGTTAAACCACCTGACTGCCCTGCTATGGTTTCTTAAATTAGCTGACAGCAAGTGCAGCGTTCAGTGTCCTGCTCAGAGGTGGCCTTCAGAGCTGTTAAAGAGCAACATAACACCCTGAATACATCCCTTTATATGATCAAAATGGTGTGTGCTATGGTTAAATAACTGCAAAACAATATTTGAGAGAGGGAAAGCAGGCCCTCCAGTGCCAAGTTGATGCAGTGATGCAGATTTTTCTTTATTGGGGGCTTTAACTCCAGTTAAAAAACAAAACAAAACTTGAACAGCACTGAGATGTGAAAGGTGGAAAGCTGCCTTTTTTAGAAGTCTTTATGTCCCAGCATGTGAATTCATCCAGCCATCTTTCTTTTTCTACCCATGTCAGGGTTGCAGGGCTCGGACTTGGCGTCCACAGATACAGGATCAACAGGGAAATGCACAACTACTGACCCTGAATTTAAAACCCAGCCTATAAGGTGACAGTTCTAACTACTGCACCACAGGTGTGAATGTAAGGTAAAATAGGAACTCTTGAGTTGTTAAAAAGATGCCTAGAATCAGTGAAATAAACCCTTTTTCCTCCCAATCCTGGATAATTTTTATTCTGGTGCTGTCACCAGTAGAGTTCCACTTTGGCACATTACGGCTCACCTGGTTGAGCAGGTGAGCAAGCCGCATTTAGGTCCTGACTCAAGTCTTGAACATGACACAAAGCCCCTTCAGTGTGTCATAATAAGTATCTTTGTAATTATCTGGTTTTTTTACAATACAAATGTGATAAAGAAGCTCTGAAGGTTTGAAGTTGTAACTTTGACTTTCCTTATTGAAAAAAAAAAAACAAATCAGGAGAAAATCCCATTCACCCTTTGGGTAAACTTCTAATTTTGTCAACGAGTTGCTCAAATTAATGGCTTGTATGCAGTTTTGAAAGCTTGCTAGAGTAATCTGCTGCTCACTTCTGAACCTAATTCGACTGGATTTTGGCCTCAGTAACTGTGACTGTGAATTCAAGTCTTTGTAATAGCCAAAAAAGACATTTCATCTTTCACTTTATTGGATGTCAGTCTTTTTAAGCCTGTAACACACTGACCAGATTTAGCCCAGAAAACAATATTCATGGATGTCTCGTGCTTAGGCCGTCAATATCTCTCTGAAACCGGATCAGTGACCTGTACAGTAAACATGACTGAATATGAAATGCTGCTGATCAAACGATGGATTTAGTGTTAAGTTACACTTTAAAGCCCCAGGCCTCATCTGAACCCCAGCTCGTCACCAGCTGCAGGCAAATTCCAGGATTTCTAGGAGCACATGAACAAAATCAGGGCTTTTTCCTCCTCTTTTTATTTTTTATTGCCTTGATATCAGTAGAGCTCACTAAATATGAGTCACTAAATTCAAAATACAGATACTTTATCACTAGTATGGCTATAATAGATTATCTATGGCTTCTTTTATACTGCTAGTGATTACAGGATTTTCTAGTGCACGAGTTCACCACAGTGCCATGCGCTTCCTACTGCTGTAACAAAGGAATGACTTCACACATGTTGGACTGAAATTAACACTTTTTTTAAAAAAGGTTTTAAACCAGAAGTCAGAGTAGCTTGTTTCATCTGTTTGGTCAAGGCAGTGGGCAAAGCCTGTCACAGTGATGCATAGAGACGGCAGCACATACTGAACCTCTGCAGGAGAAGAAAATGATAAGCAAAGGCCACAAAGCGAGCTCTATCTGTCGCCAGCGCACAGGAGGCCTGAAGAGGCTATGAAGATGACTTTATGCTCCCAGGTTTATCCATGTTATCATCTGAGTGGACATAATCAAACTGCAAGCACATTTATGATAAATATGCATCAGGAAGAACCAGGAGGTAATCCCATCTGACCCCTTCAGAATCAGATGATTGTTTAATTATGACGTCCACATTTACAGGCCCACTTCAAACTTTATAAGTACCAGAGATGAGAAATTTAACCAAATTAATTCTATACTACAAAATCTGAACTTCACTATCATGTAAATGATCATAGTTTCAATAGTAAACCTGCTCTGGTTGAATGTGTCCGTGGCATACAGGAGAGGAACAGAAACAAGTGTTGGGACAGGTAGCTGCTCAGAACAAGTAATAGCATATGAAGTCAGCTTTTTACCTACATTTACTACTAAATTTGTTACTTTTGATTATCTCCTAGCTTTGGTTTCTTTAGTGTTAAAATCAGGACTTGACAGATGGCTTTGGGATGGCTCATGATTTTCCTTTGGAATAATCTAGTGTTCTTTTTACTCATTTTAATAAAGTTTCGATGGGATCTATTTGCTGCTCAAACACATTTTCTAAAACTTTGGTTAATTTTCAGGCTGTCGATTTAATCTGAGTCTTCTTCAGTGTTTTTGTGTAAGTTACCGCAAAGCGGTCTTCCTCTTTGTAGCTTTCCTGTGTGATATCATCATGCTTGTTGTGATATCATGTCATCATACATGAGACATTTCGTCTTTCATGCATGTGGTAATTGCTTGGCACTGATGCACGATCAAGTGAGAATGAACAGTTGGGGAAGTGTGTGACAGTTATTCACTTCATTCATTTATAAATAAACATGAAGGAACCCAAATTGTTGCTGTATTAGAGGCAAATTTACAAAAACCACTTAGTGTAAAACAAAGCTACTTCACAAGGATCGCCACAGCAGGCAGCTGCACATGCCTGGTTTTATGCACAACCCTCTGACGTAGCCGCTAAAGGAGAAACCCGTGTAGTGTCGCAGAGGAAATAACAGCGACATGAGGTGAAGTCGTAATAACAACATGTGAGGGCTTAGTTGACACAAGCCAGGATATTTGTAGTTCAGCATTTCTCTCAACAGTTTAAATGAAAATCTATTATTAGAGTTTAGCTACTGTAAATTCAGAACTATATTTTGAACCTCCTGTTTTTGATCTGCACATAGCATATTTATCTAGAGGTGATAAAGGTATAGACTCTTCAAGCATCCCGTGTCTGTCTCTATCAGATTTGTTTCAACCTTTCACCAGATCTCCGAAATAAACTACGAGCAGGAGGAGGTGAGAGCAGGCTGGCGGTCCGGGCAAACTTTGGATCTCTGCAGAGATTATAAAGGGTCACTATCACTTTGTTTGCTCAGTCAGAAACACAAAAAAATGATGCTGCCTGGTTATTTATTTATCTTTGTTGTGCTGTCAGATCAATGACAGCATGAACAGTCAGCGTTTTTAGCCATGGGATCAGTTTGAACATGATGGAGCTGCAGAAACATTTAGAGTCAGCATCAAGACAGGCTGGGAAACTTTCATTGAGCTGGAATCAAGCAAGATTTATGCTCGCACTTTATTTTATGGCACACTAGTAAGACGAGAAAATAAATAATAAATATGAGTATGGACATTGGCAACCATGGATAATCATCCAAGAGTTATGACCTGTATCTGATCAGATAATTATATTACATTTACAAACTTCACAACAACATCCAGGCTGGAAGGGATTTGACATCCATCCACCCACCTACCCATCCATCCATCCATCCACCCACCCATCCATCCATCCATCCATCCACCCACCTACCCACCCATCCATCCATCCATCCATCCACCCACCCATCCATCCATCCAGCCAGCCAGCCAGCCAGCAGACTAAACCTTTTCCTTTAGATCTTCTGGGGGGACAGCAAGGCAAGTCCTAAGCCAGCCAAGCGATTTATTCCCTCCAGCCTGTCCTGGGTCTGCTCCAGGGTCTCCTCTTACTTAGACATTCCTAAAATACCTCAACTAGGATGTGTTGAAGAAGCATCTTGGTCAGATTCCCAAACCACCTCACCTGGCTCCTTTCCATGTGGAGGAGTAATGGCTCTACTCTAAGCTGCTCCTGAATGACTAAACTCCTCGCTGTATCTCTAAGGCAGAGACATGATCCTGAGACTGACATGCTTACACCCTCCTCCCTTTGTGCATGCCTTAAAATTCAATCCAAAGAAGATTTGAACAGAATGGATGACAAATGGAAGCCTTGGCACTCACAGGGAACGATTTGAACTTACTGCCATCTCGTTAAGTCTCATCAGTGCGGCGTAAAATGAAGTGCAACCAAATCTGTAAAGTGCAGAGTCTCGAAATCGACTGATATCACTGTCTGAGCCTCTGCGCTTATTTCTCAAAATATTGAACTATTCGTTTAACCTACTCATTCGTTTTTTTGTAGTTTTTATTTACAATCTCTAAGCTGTCAAAAGGTATCAATCACAGGCCACTGGCAATCACAAGTCTGAAGTCAGACCTTAAAAAGGGATTGAAATTAAATGGTAAAAGGAATGCAATCCTCACAGCTGTAGTTATAATCTGCAAATGTTTCATTTTTATTTTTATTTTTATTCCTATTTATTCTATTTATCCCCTTCGTATATTTTATTTATATTGTCTCTGTATTTATATATATATATATATATATATATATATATATATATATATATATATATATATATATATATATATATGTATAATATTCTGTAACTCTGTAACTTCTGTCGGTGCTGTGCTTTTTTGGAAATCGAATTTCCCAGAGGAACCCACCCGAGGGATTAATAAAGTTCTATCTAATCTAATCTAATCTAATCTTCTGTACTCAATAAAGGACTCATAACTGATCAATTTTAATGATTGACTGATTAACCAATCAACTAACACAACAGCAGACCAAAATATAAAAATATAAAAGTCCTGTCATTGTTCTTGTAAACCCCTACTAATGCATTTTAATGCTTTTTATCTAAAAATATATAAATAAAGTAGCTTGCCATAGGAGGGTTGTGGTTATGATAAACGTGGGTTACCTGCCAGTGTGGACACTAACCTGGACATTCTGGTTGTAATTTACCCCTGCGGTCACGTCAGTTTAATTTTCACCCATGCAAGGCGCAAAAGTCAAAGTCCGCGAACACTTCCTGGTGCTCGGCGGAGAGGCTGAAGGGCTTGGAGGGAGGCGACAGGGTTGGCTGGAGTTGAGTGAACTCGCTGTCGAAGTTGCTGACATCAGTGGGCTCCTTGATCGACGGCAGGAAGGGCGGCGTTACTTTCTTCGCTAGCAGGGCTTCCCAGTCGATGGTCTGCAAAAGAGCCACAAAGTTAAAAAAAAACAGGTTATCCCTGTGAGACTATGCTACCTCCTCAGTTTCAGGCAGTTTTTTCTAATCCTGGCAGTGTATGATGTCATCAAGAAAATAGTTCAAACTTTGTGTTGTCGAGGGTGAGGCAGTAAGAAAAAAATGCTAAAAACAGCTAAAACAACTACTTTGTGAATGGAGTGGCTGCAACAAGGCCCAGTTTGAGATAAATAAGGATTATTTTGAACTGTGAATCATGCAAAGCTACTGTAGCAGAATCAGAGAATAAAAACATGGAGCAGAAAACAACAATAATAGGTTAGCTTTAGTACTTTGACTCATCAATCAATAATTTAGGAGATAGAGGTGCTTATAGAGCTTTGATGTGTCTGCACAGGTTAAGTCACCGTCTAATCAGTACTAATCAGTGCTTCATCACTCATCAGGCTGAATTAGGAGTAGTAGACACTGATTATAACGACTACTCAGCTTGTTTACATATTGTTTAGATGTTTACGTGTCGGAGAGTAGTTCAGTGGAAAGAAAGTAAAGACAAACAGTTGATATGGATCCGATACCTCAAAGAATTTCTCTCCTTTGACCTCGTTTGCGTCCCTCTCTCCAGCTCCGAGCCTTTTTAGTGGATTCTTCTTCAGCAGCTGTGAACAAACACGGATGTTTTCAGGTTTCTGGTTGAAATACATTACTCGCCGTATTTTATACTCAAATTTAAATCAGTAATTACAGGTTCTAGGATTAGGTTCTAAAAAGTGTGTGGTGCATTATGACGTTTTCACCAGAATCTTTCTGAAATATTATTCAGAAGTAAATATGAGTTATGCAAAAAAATTGTTCGATCACCTCATTGCAAAAAGGATCTACATATGAACCTCCTGGAGTAGGGATGGGTACCGGTATCCGGTGCCATAATCTGACATAAACAGTAGTAACCAGACCGAAAAGCAGCGCACATTTCGGTGCTTTCTTTCTGTGCTTTTTTTTCCTGAGCTGTCATACACTTTGGATTCTAGCCAATCATTTTACCTTTCCAAGGATAGTAGGCGGGCCCAGGTACGTATGTTCTTTTAGAGCAGAGCTACAGATTAAAAATGCCCAAGGCGAAGCGGTCAAAAGTCTGGCTGTACTTCACAGCAAAAGAGGCAAACTCAGCAGCCTGCAACAAGTGCTTTAAGGTGATACTGTGCAAAAGAGGTAACACCTCGAATCTGATGAAACACCTGGCGACGCATAGCGTTTTTTTAAAAGCCGAGAAATGCACCGTATTTGATAGCTTACTGCGAGACCTCACACCGTGCACATCTACTGCGGGTGTGGTAAATCTCCATTAGTGAGTTAGCGCGGATAGCCCCGTGCGTGGGGCTGGACAGTGCTTATCATTTTGCAGATAAAAAGAGACTGCTAAAAATAAAAACATGAGAGGTTTTTGGACAAAGTTTGTGTTCTCCATTCTTTAAGCACCAGTTCGAGCACCATTTAAGCACCAGCACCGTTTCAAAAGTACCGATTTGGCACCGGTATCGGATAAAACCTAAACGATACCCATCCCTACTCCTGGATGAAGTGAGTTTTCTCTGTGAACTCTAGCTGCCTTTTACAGTCATAAGAGATGTTTTTTACGGGTGATTCTAAACATGCTGTAGGTGCTGATGTGATAATGTGTGTTTATTAGCCTAGATGGGAAAATGGCTATAAAAATAGATGCTGGGGTTTTTGTGGCTCATAGCGCCCTATTTGCACAGCTGGTTGGTTGACATTTAGATAAAGCAATGAGTCTCTATTGCCTTATGGAAGAGTTATCTATGCATATTGTACTTAACATTTCATAAATGGCCAAAATGAATTAAAATCCTGTCACAACTTGATGTGTGACTTATAAAAATAATCGAGAAATGCAGGACGCAAGAGGTCAAATGAAGGCAAATACCTTCTGGATGATGCTGACAGCATTGGGAGGAATGCAGGTTGGATACTGCACGTCGTCATTAACGATGCTGTCAAACACCACCTCCTCATCTTCACCAGGGAACGGAGACTAGCAGGAGGGCGGAAAGATGCTGAGTTAGGCTTAACTGAGATGAACTGTGGAACTTTGCATTGATCACTATGATATTAAAAGCTTTCAGCAAAAGCTGAACTGAATATGAGGTTATATATGAATAACCTCTCCAACAAGCATTTCGTAGATGAGGACGCCCATCCCCCACCAATCCACTGCTCGCGTATAGTTGTCGTCTGTCAGGACTTCAGGAGCAAGAAACTCAGGAGTCCCACAGAAAGTTGAGGTCCGATCGCCGTGTCCCATCCCTGCCGATACATCACACACTTCAGTCCTCTCAGATGGAAGTATGGAGAGTTTAAATCGTAAAACTGATTCTGTTTGGGTAGTAGTATAAAAGGTAAGAATGTGGCTACTGCTACTTGTGCTGAGCCAGAAATTAGAGTACAGACAGGTGTGCTGAATGGATTCACCTTCTTTACAAAGTCCGAAGTCTGTGATTTTCACAAATCCATCTGCATCCATTAACAGGTTGTCCAGCTTCAGATCTCTGTGTAAAACACAGAGTACACAAACTGAAGGGTGCCAAATGTTTTCTTGTAACGTGAGATCACTTTGGCACTTATCACCTACCGATAGATGATTTTATTCAGATGCAGGAACTCTAAACCAAGCAGGACACATGCTGAGTAAAACCTGTACATGATAGCAACAACAGATCAGAGATGTTGGATAACAACACCTTAAAAAATACATTGATTTGATTTGTTTTCTTTGTCAGGGAAAGAAAACAAATCAATATTTGGAAATCCCTCAGGCAGTATGTTTACTCTTTTTATGCACACCTGGTCTGAGCCTCGTTAAACACATCATTGTGGATGTGGATCATGAGGTCACCGCCGGGTAAATACTCCATGACGAAGCAGACGTGGTCGCTGGTCTGGAAGCAGCCGTGGAGGTTGACGAGGAACGGGTGCCTGGACGCGTTGATCATCTCAAAGATCCTCTTCTCGCTCATAAGACTGCAGAAAAAAATACATCACTCAGCTATTATCCTCAGAGCTGCAAAGAGTGAGTTTTTCTTGTCAAGCTCAGTAATAACGTCCATGGCTGCAGTTCCACTAATGACCACTTGGGGCTGGCTCCAAAAGGAAGTCAATTCCCCTTGACTCCAGTGTTTAAATGTCCAACTTTACAGCATTAAAAAGCACGATTAGAAACTAGATACAAAAACAGTTTGGGCCTTTATCTATAGGCCATAACAGACACTGAGTGAAGGCAAAACTCAAACGCATCCCATTGATCTATAATCTGAGCTTTCTTATTGATAATCACGTAACGTGCACCTGCATGCAGATTTAAAGCATTCTTGTCTTTCCTTCCACTCACCTGTCCACTTCATCACGAGTCACAATGTCTCTTTTCTTCAAAGCTTTGACAGCATACAATTTTCCGGTCTTCTTAAACTCTGCCAGCAGGACCTGGAAAACATTCACAGCAAATCTAACCCTGATCAGCTGAGGACAAACAAGAGAAGACGTTTGGCTCAGTCACAGTGTTTTACAGAAAAGCTTCAAACTGTTACCTTCCCAAAGTGTCCTCTGCCAAGAACTGAGATATACTTAAAATCTTCCACCTGCATCCTTTTGGGAAAAAAAGAACAAAAATAGAAAACAAGGATGGTGCTTAATTCCTAATTTTTAGAAGAGGACGTGGAGTGAAGTGTGTGAAGACGTGTGTGTGTGTGTGTGTGTGTGTGTGTACTTTAGAGCAGATACAGGCTGATCTTCGCTTTCTTCTACGGAGGACTGCAAATAAAAATTCAATGGCAAATTAGAGCTCAATAAGAACATGTTTAGATCTTCTAAAAGCTGCTGTTTAAACCTGTGATATCAGCAGAAAAATTTATGTTTTTGGCCGTTATCACATCACAAAGCTGCCAGTGTGGCTTTAGATCCTTACTCTTAGTGCTTATAATCTGTTACTGGATACGGTTTCACTCTTCTAAAGCTAATTTGTCTCTCGCTACATATATAAATGTGTAAACTCTGAATGCACTGGCATGTCAACTATTGCTAATGACTTACCAGTTTTTCTTGCAGTGTGGGCACAGATGATGTTCGGTGCACTGCACTGATGATGCCAGCTGTGTTTTCTTCCTGGTCGAGGATGTTGGGAGAGGGCTGATCCTCAGTGATGCTCAGTCTGATTACTGGAGCTTCGCTGCAGTCCCACAGAGACAAGTGTTGAAAAATGTAGTGAGATAGTAGACAGTCAAAAAATACTAAGAGAGGCCAGGACCTGGAGGCAAACTACTGACATTATCATTGGAAAAGTTTTATCTCCTCACAGTACTATATACATAAAAATAAAAAAAATCAAGCTAAAATACACAATAAGAACTATCTATCACAATGTGAGATGAACTTATGATTAGTTCATACCTTGGCAGTGAAGTGGTAGTTTGAGGCTCCTTTTCAGTTGCATGGGGGGCATTGTTGGCCACCAGGTCAGGGGTCGCAGAGAAAGATGAGCTGAATGTGGTGAAGGAGCTGTAGCGAGGGAGGATGCTCATCATCAGATGACCCCAAGTGGCAAAGTTCATGTTCATCTGGGCTGCTCTGAGAAAGTTCTTCCCTGACAAAGAAAACAAATCAAATCATCATTTCACTGCAGAAACACAAATTCAGTCTGAATAAATCTGTTTGGGGGCTTTTGTGTTTGTACCTCTCTCTTTAGTGAAGATGCACCGCTGACGTCTCAGCTTTGGCTGCCGTTCGAGCACAGTGTCAATAAATCGAAGCTGTAAAATACAAATCAAACAGATTTCTTTTAACTTTTGAGAAATTAACTGCATTTCTATCCAACTGGGATGAAGAAGCATGGCTAATATTGCACCTTATTGGCTGTGATAGTTGGCACTATCTGATTAATGTGTGGATTAATTTGAGACAGAAAAAAGGCAAAGTGTCACAGTGAAAGGCTCAAAGCTGTGAGTGTGGTGCCAAAGCTCACCCAATGTTAGATTTCTGTTCCTCGATAAGACTCTACTTTGTTGAATCAGAACATAATGTGGAGCATATTAGATTTCCTACAACCACACTGAAATCTGTCAACATGCAGCTCTTTATGGGACTCTGAAGTGTGTTGGATTAATGTGAGAATGTTAAAATGAAATAATATTGACTTTAAACAGCTCATTGAACACTTTTAAAGCACGTTTGCATCTGATTTTCCCTCCTCTCAGGGCTGGATGACTAACAAAAGACTGAGCAGATTAAGTTTGCCACTTACCACTTGCCACCACATCTAAAAACCTCCTTTTATAACCCTTCCAGAACAAGAGAAAAGGTTTGGAGATGCACAGTATTCTTTCAGTCTGGTTTCAGAGAGTTACACTCCACTAAAGAGCTCTCATTAAAGTCTCCAATGACCTTTTGATGGCTGCAGATAAGAATGACTGTTCCAAGTCTTTGCTTTCATCAGCCTTTGAAACCGCTGATCATCAGCTTTTGATCCACAGGTCAAACAGCATGGCAGTGATTTTGGTTTACCTCACTGGTTTACTGATTTTTGGGTTCGGTGGGTGAGTTTTGGTCTGATTTTGCTTCTTTATCATTCAGTTTTCTTGGTTAAGTTCTCTTTTATATTCACTGTATATCCTCATTAGGTCATATTATCAGCAGTTTTGAAATAGTTTCTTATCATTTTTATGCCAAGATCATTCGACTGTACTTCTCTTTGAAACCTCACGAACTGGATATCCAGCTCAATCGACTGTCTTAATGCAATCAGGGTGCAAGGCTAGGTGACAAATAATTGCTCCTGAGAACATCAGTGCTCAAGCAGCTAGTGGGGTCCCTGTCATTCACAGTAAACTCTAACATGTGGAACCGTGGGATCATTTTTGATCAGTCCTTGATGTTTGATGCTCACAAAAAGTCTCTGACCCACTCTTGTTTTTTCCAGTTAGTAAATCTTGTTAAACTTTAGTCTGAAAAAGTGATTTGGAGATGCTTGTTCATGCCTTCATCTCCTCTCACTTGGATTATTGTAATCCACTGTTTTTTCATCTGTTAATCGCCTCCAGTCTTTTTGCATTGACTTCCTGTCAGGTTTAGTGTTTAGTTTAAAATCTTAAAATCTCCTGCCTTTCTGGATGTGACCTGTAGGAACTTGGTTTGATGCTGAGGCTAACTTTAGTGGATGACTTATCAGGCTTAATGTCGGCATTTACTACAACTTTTTCTGGTGTATATCTAGTATAATATGATTAAGCCGATTGCTCTCTTTATGCTGTATGTGTGCATCTATGTTTTGTTGTTCTTTGCCACTGCACCGTACACAAGGCAGGTGGTTGTATGTACCTTAGTGTAGAGGAGGCCCTGTGGCTCTAAAGTTATCCCCTGGTTGATGATTGGGTTTTCCATCATCTCCTCCAGTCGCAGGAACTTGACTGCACACATCGCCCTCTGGTCCCGCCAGAAGACACCGACCTCCAGCTCCCGGGACTGCCAGCAGAGCGAGGACCAGCAGAGAAAACACAGACTGAAGGTTTGAGCGGGAAGTGAGCACCACCATGACTGAAATGGTAGTAGCAACATGTTGTGATTCATTTCTGTTGCAATTGAGAATCTTTAGAAGAGGTTCAATCATGTTTGTGATCACTGACTCATTGTTGTGAGGCTGTTTTTATCAGATTAAAGGAAGCCTGTGAGTATTTGCTGGAGTCTTTAAAGTTTCACTGTGGATTGGTGAGAGGAGTAAAGTTACTTATTATATTTCAGTTTAACTGAGTGTTTCTAATTAATAGAGCCAAAGGTTGTTTGCAGCTGTTAGTGAATAAATCGTTGATGTTTTTAAAAATCAAAATGTCAAACAATATCTTCAGCAAAGTTAATTGTTCTTTGCTAATTTCAGGATGTTCTTCTTTTTCTTACTGTACTGCAAATTGGAAACCAAGTTCTTGAAACAAACAAGCATCTACAGTACTAAGCATGTCTTTAGCTCAGGCTGTGATGAACTAATACCTGCAGGTAGAGGGCGACCCCTGCTGCTCTCAGACTGAACTGCAACAACAATTTAGTCTATGGCGCAAGAATGTTCACTGCTGGAGTAATGGGTAGGAGGGTTCGGTTCATCATGATGCACAACAGCACCCACGATACACTAGAATTTAATGGCTTCCTGCCAGTGAAACATGGAGTAGGGCTCAGCAGATGAGGAAAAAACTCATTTTACTAGTCACTTTAACTTCATGGAAAAAGTGGCAAAAACAAGGAAAGACGTGAAGGAACATAACAAAGGCTGTAATAAAAAAAAGAAAGAAAGAATGAAATAGCTTATAGAGTGAAAAGATGAGTGAAAAAAGTGGAAAAACTCCATTATAACCCTAAAGACTGCAATTATAGCTCTTAATCTTTATTTATATCATGATTTTTATACATTAAAAATGTTGTCACAGCAAAGTAATGTTCAGAATTTATCTGTGGTTATTACCTGCAGTTGTAGGTTCAGATTATCATGTGAAATGGAAAACACATTAATGATGGCTCAGTGTATCCTCTGCTATAATAAATGAAGCACTGAAGCACCTTTCCTGCATATTTAAGAAGCTACAAGCAGCTCTTATTATGGCTGCAGATACGTCAGGGTCGCTTTACTCACTGCCCACAAAACTGTATTCATCTACAAGATTTTAATACAAGACCTTCATCAGGCAATCAGCTACTTTATTTTAAAGGTCATATCTATACATGTGTAGATTGTAGATTTTAACTGTAATTGTTAAGCATTTATTGAATAACTATTATATTAGATATAATTTTCATGGTGCTGGACTTGTGATGGTTTTTGGAATTTTATTAATTATTTTCAGACCCCTTTGTTCTCGTTCTTCATGGTTATTTGGTGATATTTTAATCTCTTAAGCTGGGATTCGTGGCTTATATGGTTGAGGCAAAATGAGGCGCTCGCTGAGAGTAAAATCTCAGAGCAGCACAGAAGTGTAAAGAAGCATCCAAGGGTGGAGTGAAACAATAATTCAATACGGTAACTCGACTCCATCACTGGCTCTGCGTTATTTAAGGTTGCAACCACATCAGATTTTCTCTTTCTTCCTCATGGCAAAAGAATTGCACTCAAAATAAGAGGATGTGCAGAGCATCTCTATCCATAACTGCAGAAAAGATCGCACTGACTGAGTTGTCAATGTGTGCTAAGGCTGAAAGTGCCAATCAAAAGCTCACCAGGAACACATCAGTCCCACACTGACATGCAAAACCATCAGCCGACGTCTTATAAGCATTCAGATGGTTATGTTTATAGTAAAGCATCCAGCCAAAGTATTGTAAGACTTCATTCACACTCACCGAATTTAAACTACAACAATGCATAAAAGCTTAATCTATTTGTTTTAACTGGACTTTTTGACTGACCTGCTCTCTGAGATGTATTTTCACCATTTAGCTGCATCTATTTTTTTATTCCCCCTCTCTCATCTCCACTTTTCATTTGACCATCCATTACGCTGGAAGTCGCCTAATGTGCTGTGCAGAGAAGCACTTACCTACTGCAGCCGTGCCGGGTGAAAAACAGAGAGGGCTGGGCTGGGCGAGGGCACACAGTGTAAGGTGAATCTGACGAGATCCTTCTACTCCTGACTTTGTCTATTTTGTCCCAGTTCTTCTGAACTAAACTCAAAATAGTCAAGAAGTGTGCTTCAATTAATTGTGTTCTTTCCAAAGGAACTCGTTAAGACCTTGGGGCTGTGTTTTGGTTTTATGTTGTTTCTCCCAGTTCATATGTCCCTGAGAGGAGCCTCTTCATACTGTCATGGTCTTTGGCTTTGTGTTGTTTTGGGGTTTTGAATTCTTAATTAACATATTTGGGTTTCTGTTTTGGGGTTTATAGACTGGACTTTAGATTTCTGTGTTTGTTGTTTATTATCTTTATTCAGTCTTTGGTTCCAGTTTTATACTTTAAGGTTTTCATGGTAATAGCTTTCTGTTTTGTGTGTTTTGGCTCCTCTTTAACTTTCATGTTCTTACAGTGACTTTGGGTGTTTCTGGTTTCTTTTATTGTTATTCGTTTCTTCTTAGTCTTCTTGTTTCCACCCTCTTCTCTTTAGTCCAGCTTTCTTTATCATTGTCCTTCTGTTCCCCCCGAATTAGTCCATTCATGTTTAGTCTTTCTTTGTTTCAGAAATGGTTGGTTGTTCCTTTCCTGTTTTATTTTGATAGATGTCTGTCTGTCTCATTGTCCTCACCTGTGTCTGATCCTAATCAGCACTCTGTGTATCTGTGTATCTTCCCTCTTTTGATGTGCCTGCCCTTTGCTGACCTCTTTGCTTTTGTGGATTTTGTTCTCATTTGGACTTCATTTCATTGGCCATCAAAGCATGCTATTTGTTGGGGCTTTCTGACTTCTGCCTCCTACATGTGGGTTCTTATTCCTGCTCATTGCGATACATGTGTGTAGTCTGATTACTCTCTGACCTGCACAGCGCCCTTGTACAGTCTATATGGTTGGGTGCTTGCTATATTGTTCTTGTCAGCACATGAAGTGTTACTACAGCATGTACTAAGCTGCTGATGCTGTTTTTATCTGCATCAATGTCACACAGACAAAGGTCATAACAAGAAGAACAGATTGTAATGGATCTTGTTTCCTTGAAGTGTGCTGCACAGCAACTGAACAGTATTCAAACAGCGCCTCATTTCTGTAATTAGAAACAGGATGATTGGGAGGGAAGTAAATGGGCAGGAAGGCCAGTTTGAACGTGGGCGGTGTGGATTAGAGCGAACATGAAAAATGACTCACAAATGCTGAAAGCTGGCTCGCCGTCGCAGCGGTTTAAATCATGGGGAAAACGAGAGGAAAATATGTGCTACTCTGTTTTTCTGCAGTTTAACTTCCCACTATAACTGATATGATCAAAAAGTTTAGTAAAAGCTGCCAAACATGAGCGTGCCCTGACATGATGTTCCAGAAACTCGGAGCTAATTAATGCTGCGACTGGTAGCCCTGAGATTTTTGATTGCAGAAATGCTGATCAGAGTTAGTTCAATCAACTCTGAGTATCGTCACCCTGAGTTAAGGCCATGAGTAATGAAAGAAAGCCCTCATTAGTGGAGCTCGGGTAACTTAATTCACCACGGCAGCAAGTATTTAAAGGGTAGGGCCTTTTATTTTTTCTGCGTTGTCCAGTCATTATTTACCCAAATTTTCATTAACAGATGAAGCCGAGGGGTGTACTACGGAGTGAGACTGGTGGGTTAGGGAGCAACGATGAGTTTAAAGTCAGTTTTACAAGGGTGGCCGCGGTAAGTTATGCTTCTTTCAGTTTAAAATTGGAAGCGTCTCCTCTTAACTCATTCTTGTATTTACAGCATGTTTGAGCGATGATTGATCTAAGAGCGATCCCTTTTTGCAGAAGACAAGTCATGTGAAACATGAAATGCCCCCTTTTAGCCTGAAGCAGAATCCTGGTTTGACACAGACCGTTCATAACCCATGTTCAACTGGGGTTTTTCGTTTTGTCGAGCCAGCTAACACAAAGAAAGCCTGGTTTTACAGAATTCACTTCTTAATATATACCACTGGAATTTGAGCAGATTTTACATTTCATTTGTAAATCAAATTATTCAGCTGTAGCCTGACAGTAAAGACGTGTAGATCACACAGATTACATGGTAACTGAGTCAGAGTTTACGTTAATTCTCTTTCTGGAACAGAAAACCTAGAGTTTCCCTGATCTCAGGATTAATAAACTCTTTTCACTAAACCTGCTTCTGGAACAAAGCCCAGGTTTCTGACAGTCCCCTGGTGCTTAAACTCCAGTTGCTTTAATTCATGCCAACCTGTTGTTTCAGTTTCCTTGGTTCAAAATCTGATTCTGATTGAATTTTTTTGTTTTACTGGTGCAGGCTTCTTTTAAACCATCCTCACTGCTTTCGTCTCCACAGCTTGAGGTAAATATGTTTGATTGTGTGACGTGGCAGACTGCAGATGGTGAGAAACATGATTCTGATTCACTAACATGAGCTCTGTGGTCAGAACAAAAATGACTAGTGAACATGTTTCATGAATCTGATGGTAATTTTGAATGTGCACTTTGTGTTTAGTGTATTAACATTTCACTGAATGAGACCCATTATGACAAAAGAGATGAGCAACAGTCTGATAAATTGACATAATTTATGCTAGGAAATAAAAATGGACTATTACTTTGTTGTTTTCCCACTCCTCAGTTAACGTGGTTAACTAAGTATCTGATGGTGTGTAGGGACTCACCCGCTCTAGCTGGATGTAGAACGTCTGGTCCCAGCTCAGCCTGCTGACGGATGCCCAGCGCGTCCGGCCGACCACTCTGCCGTCCAGCCTGAGCACACCACTGATCTCTGCGGTGAGACAAACATTTACGTTTTACTGGCTGTGTCCTGAACAGGCTTGATTTTTACAGCAGTGAAGATTTACATGAATGTTCATTTTATTTACTAGGTGCTTTTAATTTGTAAATCCAACATAATTCTAATAATTCTGACAACTTTGTCTAACTAATCAGGGGCTTTTATACTGAAAATATGACACTAAATCATCCTGATAAATTTTGTATTACTAACTGAAGTCTTAAATTTTGAAAATCCAACATTCAACCTGAGAGCTTTCTATAAAAGGTTTTTATTTTCAGAAACTGGGGTTAGTCTGCTGGACCCACCAAAGCAGTAGAATATGGATGAATGAGTAATAAACAATAAATTAATGCGTACCCCTGCACGCAACTTTTTCTAGATATTATTTTTTGTACCTTTACATTGAAGGTTCAAGGCTGGTTTTGAGCAGCTGCAACGCATAAAGGTGCTTTGTACCTTAATGAATAAGAAACACCTGTCAATGGTCCAGCAGCACTACCTTAGAGGGTACCTCCCAGTAATTATCCACCGTACTCTTAATGGTACAAAAGTACTTTTCTGAGAGTATCATGTGAATCTGACTGGAGCCAGACGGTTCGCCTTCCAAAAGATCAAGCTTATGAAATCATGCTGGTTTATTTATCTTCTATTTTAGGAAAATAACAACTAAATGTCAGGGCATTTAACAAAGGACCTTTCAACATCCTTGACAGAGGATATGATATAATTTAAAGTAATAAGCTCACTTATTGTAATAGATTACCTTTAAAAGCACTCCATACTTCACAAAAAAGTAGGTTAACCCATTGAGCACGGCACCAGATTTCAGTGTTCGGCTGTGACACTGTGGCACTCTCATACTGATGTAAATGTCTTTTTAAAACAGAGACCGGGAGTCACACTATTCATGCAGCTAAATGTAATCTCACGTGAGCTGGAATTAATAAAGCTGTTTAATAATCTTTCTTTTATTGTGCAGAGTATGCTCTAAAGTGTTTGCATTTACTGAATCCATTTAGAATTTCAACATTATGCACTCCACTCCACACTGTATATAAATGCCACTTGTTTTGCACATATTCAACTCTGTATATTTTATATATTTTATTATTATTATTATTTATTTTATTTTTTTTTATTTTTTATTTTTTTTTTATTTTTTACTATTTAATTTGTAAAAATGTGTATACACACACACACACACACACACACACACACACACACACACGTAGGAAAATATTTAGTATACACATCCAGAAATGCATACACTATTATATATTGTACATATATTTATTAGTTTCAGGTTGGCCATTCTTGTATTTTGCTCGTTTGTGTTGTTGTGTTTGCACATCTCTGTTGCTTGTGGGGCTCGCACACAAGAATTTCACTCGCATGTGCTGTGCCAGTGTGCCTGCACATGTGATGTGACAATAAAAGTGATTTGATTTGATTTGATTTTGATTTGAAAACACTGTAAAAGTGACCAGATTGTCAAACCTTCTGCTTGCAAGAGACAGCCAATCAGAAGAAAGTTGGCTTGTTGGAGAAGTTAGGATGTTGTTTGAGCTTGTTTGAGTCAGAAGATGACCTGAAGTGCTGCACAAAGGCTCAGTGTAAGTTAAATAAAAATTATTTTGAATTGTTAATGATGCAAAGCTATCCTAGTAGAGTGCAAAAGCAAAAATGTGGCACTATAAATGAACATAAAAACGTCAATTTAATTATTTCCTTGTTCCAACTAAGATGAAATCACTCGTGTCCAAGGAAACATTTTAAAAATGCAAAATGTCTGCTTACCTGGAGGTCCGTCTGGTTTGTGAGCAGCTGGTGTCTCTGCAGGGTTTGGATGGTCTTCTTGCTCTGAATCTCCCAGAGGTTTCAGTAAATCCTCACATCCAAGAAGCCGGACTTCAAGTTTGCCTAAAGACATTTTTAAAAAACAAAACAAACTTTAAGATTCTAAAAACATCCTGAAATGATCACTAAACGATTATATTCTCACAAAATACTTAATCACTACATTATGTAACAATGCCTCCCCTTCCCAAGTCCTTAGTAATGAATTGCATTTAAGACCAAAATGAATGGAGCCTTTTAAAATAAAACCTTTTCTTTTTCTGCATGAATAAATCTCTCATGCTTCTAATCAGCGCTGTCTGGAGCTGCTCGCTGAGCATTCACATCCTCATTTTCTCCCTTTCTCCGTACTGCTAACAGCTGTGAAGCACAAAATCACCCCGAGTGAGACCCGATCTGAATGCTCGCCGCATACAGAGCAACTCCAGGATTTGTCTCCTCGTTACATCATCATCATGAGGCTTTTTTTTGCCTTTTTAGTCTCCAGCAGGGAGAGATGGGCTTACAAGTGAACTGTCCAAAACCAGCAGATTACATGTCTGATTATCCACTGCCAGAGGTCAGCGTATGGTTAGCCATGTTCCAACACTGGGCAGGAATGGTGCCGCTAGAAAGAGCTGTGTGTTAGAGAGGAAAAAAACAAAGCTTTCTTTGAGATGTAGGTGTTTGATTTTTAAAGGTTCCTGGGAATAACTACTTAAAAATAGTGTTTAATTAGTAGACTTGCAATTAGTTAAATCCAGTTATCTTCCGGTCTTCTGAATGTACTAACACATAAAATGTGTCTATAATTAAACATATGATTCTGTAATAAGTGAATGATTTGTGTTTAAAGAGAGCCGTTCCTTCATGAAATTCACTTTCCTCTGTAAGCTTGTTTGTTAGTTTCTTCCAGGAGCAGGAGGTTATTATGGAGCTAAAGAAAATAAAACGAGAAGCTGAATAATCCCTTAAAACGTGAAAATCAGGTCTGTCTCATAATCTCCAAATGACTGAGTGGGTTCATTTATGCACGCATTTTGTTTTTAACATTCTTTTATTGTAATTTTCCACTTCTGATCACCACATTATGTTTAGTAGTGAACCATGGCCAACAGACTATAATAAAGATTAAAAACAACCTGATTATGATAAATTCGATAAGAGCAGAATGACCAGATTGGAGCAACGTTTCCTGGTCTGCTGTATGAGTAGATGGTGGGATCAGAATCTGACATAAACAAGAATTGTATTGATGGTTTAGGCTGCTGGTGATGTGACGTGTATGATAGTCAATCTTAAAGTAGTCATGGAGAGAGATTTCAATTTCAGGTATTTAAACCATCATTAATAATGACAGGCTCCTCCTCCTTTCAGCTGCTCCTTTTAGGGGTCGCAATTTAGATCATCTGTCTACATCTCAGCCTCTCGCTGGCATCCCCTCTGTCAAACCTCTACATGTCATCCTTTATTACATCAGGTGCCTGGAAGCTCCACATTCAACATCCATTGCCCAGTTTATCCTCCAGTTTATCCTCTCAGTCCCGCCTCTAACTTTGTCTCCAAACCGCTCATCCTCAGCAGTCTCTCTGATGTCATTATTTCTAATCCGGTCTATCCTGGTCATTCCCAATAAAAAACCTCGATATCTTCACCTCTGCCACCTCCAGCTCTGCTTTGTGTCTTTTTCTCAGTGCCACCATCTCTAAACCATACATCAGAGCAGGTCTCACTACCATCTTATAAACCTTCCCTCTCACGCTCGCTTCTATCCTGCCACAAACCCACCTGACACACGTCTTCACTCACTCCACCCTGCCGACACACTCTCCTTCCCCCCTCTCATGCACTGTCCATTTTAGCTTTAGATAATGCTGACAGGCTAATTCATACTTAATGCACTGTGCAACCTTCACTAAAAACTGTGTTATGTATATTCTTACAGATTTTTGGGGTCAAATTATTGAAACATTTGACCCATGACTATACCTATATCTGAGGTATGATCTAGTAAATTAATTTGCAAACAGAGCTGTCTCTAAAAGTACACTTTTAAATGTAGGTACTGCTCAGAAAAAGCATAGTTTGTGCTGGTACCGGTTAAGGAGGCAGGTCTGATGGAGAAGACGGATGGCGAGGTGGAAAGGGGACACCCAGTTGTGGGGTTTTGGGTAGAAGGAGGTCCCCCTCCTGCAGGCTGCTGTAGAGGCTCCTGTTTCTTTTCCTTCAGGCATTTCTCCAGGGAAAGCTGCAGAAGACCCAGTTTCTGGGAGGATTCCTGCACCCGAGCCTGAGCCTGCAAAGAAGATAAAGACTATATTGTTGTTTGGGCCTTTTAAATATAGGCTGTTTAGTATTTTTGGATATTGTTTGTGCTGCTTTACTTCCAACATAAATATATTTTTCAGACTTTATATTTTATATTTTTATTTATTTTGCTTTATTTTGTGTTTTTATTATATTAGCTAATCAGTGAAAGTGATGCTCACAACACAACTAAACACAAACCAGAGCAAACATGAAAGTTAATATTTAACATTTCCAGCCCCATGTTTTTTCTTACCCTATACTATAATAGTCTTGCATGAATCACACTTCAAAATCATCTTTCTTTATCTGATACTGGACCTTGGTGCCGCCCCTCAGTTCATCCTCTATCTGAAAAAGCAGTTTTAGCTGCACAGTACAGCCAGTCTCAATTTTTTTCTTTCTTTCTTTCTTTTTTTTTTTTTTTTAGAAAATTCTTCAGATTTTTTAGACATGCCTTAAAACAAACTCCTTTCTCCTCTGACGTACTTTAAAATAAATGTGACTGAGAGTCCTACCTCAGCCAGGGCCTTCCGGTCCAACGATGAGATCCCTTCAAGCTCCTTCACCACATCTTTGGCCAGCACCAATGCATCTGACTCCCTCTGCACATAGTGCTGCAACTCTACCAAGCGAGCATCCACGAGACTCGCAGTGAGGGGAGATATCCCTGAGAGGGAAGAGAAAGAGAGAGTCTTGATACCTGCTATCAGTATTCCTAAATAAGAAGTAAACCCTTTTGTCTTAAATGTCACTGAGTTAAAAACACTACATTTTCTATGTGTCTGGCATTCAGCTGACACTTTTTTGAAATGTAGAAAAGCTCTAAAAGGAAGGATTAAAACATCGCAGCTAGGGAAGACCCTTCAAATGTTGCTATGTTGATACAAGAAGAAGAACACTGCATACTAAATAAACCCAGAAGTGAAAGAATCCTGTTTTCTCTTGCTGCTTGTTTTTTTGGGGTGGGGGTTTAAACGTAATTCTTAAAATTAATCAAAACCAGTGACTGACAAGAGCTGCAGAGTAATTACACTTGTGTTCTATTCAATTGATTTTATTTTGTTTTGAATTTTCATTAGTCTGCTACTAAAAGTAGATGTTTGCAAACTGGATCCGGTGACCCTGAATCATCCATTAGTTATGCTGCTATAGGCTCAGGCAGTTGGAGAACTTCCCATGATGCACTTAGGTAGCATTTATTCTACCATGCCCATGCATTTACACACCACTACTGCATTAACTCGAGTCTTCTCTCTCCTGTAATTGGTGTTGTGTCCTTGTCTCTCTCTTCTTTCTTTTGTTTCCCTGCCCCCACCCCTACAAGTCTGGTTCTCTTCCTATTAAAATGAGTTCTTTCTTCCCACTCTCACCAAATGCTTGCTGACAGGGATCATCAGATCACTAGAGATCTCTCTCTTTTATTTATATACCTTGCATAGAGGTAAATGCAGTTCAGAACACTTCACGGATGACTGACCTAATTACTGATAATAAGACATAACAAAATGTAACAAAAATGGGCAAATTAAAACAGTGGTTGAAACATCGAAGACATTTTAAATAATTAAAGTGAACCAAATAAAACTGTAAACAATCAAAAAAAAAAATACAATACTGAACAGAGAGAATCATTGTGCAATAGAATAAACTGTACAACACTCAAAAAGTGGAGCTGCACGCTGTGGCGACCCACTGTGAATAAGGAGTACCTAACTATTAGTAGATTTATGCTGGATGACCAGAGGGGTTGTACTGGTTCATTCGCTGTCACCATGTCTGACATATACACTGGAGTGAGACAAGGAAGTGCTTTAAAAAAAGAGTAAAAGGGTATTTTTAATTAATATGGATACATATGGAGGTCTACTTAACAATATAACTTGGTTCGGATGACTGTTGTTGTCACCTGAAACATGAAATATATTTAGGAATATTTTTGAGAATTAAAGGTATCAATAAATTTAACCAAAGCAACATCAATGGAAAGGTTGCTACCGCAACAATAATGCCAATGTAATGTATGGTCTCAACTCAACCATAAGTCAATGAATTATTATTGTCTTGGTCTCTGGGTTTGGCCTGTGACTTAGTGAATCACACTTTTTCTGGCCCCTCTGAGTCTGAGGTGATGGTTTTCAGTCAAAAGTGAGGAGTGCTCACTTGGGGTTGGGAACGAGTTGCTGTCTTAATTGAAGGCGTAGTTGAAGTATCTTGGGGCTCTGGTTGAGGGAAGGAGGGAAATAGAGGTTGAAAGGGGGATTTGTGCAGCTGCTGTATTATTTCAGATGCTGTACTGGTCTGCTGTAGGGAACTGAATTTGAAAGCAAAGGTGTCGATCTATATTACTGCCCTCACCTATGGCCACAAGCTGCTGGCAGTGACCAAAATAATGAGGTCACGGATTCAAATGACGAACACAAGCTTTCTACAAAGGGTGTCTGGTGTTTGGTAGGGTCTCAGAGTAGAGCTGCTACTCCTCCACATCAAAAGGAGCTAATGTTTAGGGATACCTCCTGGACGTCTCCTATGAGGTGTTTTAGGAATATCCAACCGGACTTGATTATGTCTCTTGACTGGCTTGGAAATCCATCAGTCTCCCATCAAAACAGGTGAAGGAGGCGCATGGATGGGTGGATGGATGGATGGATGGATGGATGGGTGGATGGATGGATGGATGGATGGATGGATGGACTGAGAAAATCATTTGCTAGAGTCAGCCTTTGCTTTTACACATTCTGCTGACACTTGGATACAGTGAATGAAACTGCCTGCTGTAGTAAAGAGGGCCTTTATTAGCTGTAGATGATAACATTTTAAGAAATCAATGAGAGGAAAAGAGGTCAGAGGTCCAAGAAAGGAAATGGGACCTGAGGAGCCATGGTATAGAGTTACTTGTCTCATATTCCGTCAGGCAGGAATCGTTTTTTTTAAACATTACTTTCAGAGTTTCACAAATGGCACGTATCGCCAGTTTAGAATTAAATGTCACACTTACACTCTGTCTCTAATAATCCTGTCAGAGCAGTTTCACTAGTGCAATATACTCTCATCATAACTGGGACAGGAGACTGTTGGCAGGAAATGTTAAAGTACTCACGTCACAGTATCTCTGGATCAAAAATGCATACTTTTTCACTTACAAGAAAAGCTTTTGAATTGTGATCTGTTGTTGGAAAACATTAGTCAAACAGATAATCCCCTTTCAAAAAATGGAAGCTCTGGCAAAACCTTCATTAAAGCGCTAAATTTTCAAACCACATATCTGCATGCACTGGAAACTCGGTTGCTCCTTCTGGGTTAACGAGACAAGTTATTTGAAAATCTGACAGAATTGTTGTGACTGGCCACGGGCAATATAATAGATGATTTCACGCCTCTTTCAAGGTAATTTGCACACTTAAATAAAGTAGAAGAACAGAGTATTATAGGGGGACTCACTTGTCCCAGCACTCTGACCTCCATGAGTGGAGCTGTTAGGGTTTCCACCACCATCAACACCACTGCTGCTGCTGCTTCCAGCCTGGGCGACTTTTATAATCTGCAGTCGGATCAGCTCAATCTTAGAGCGGCTATCCTGAAGCATCTGCTGAGCCGTGGACAACATCTGATCCTGGATAACAACATCACATCAAGAGACAACAAGCCTCACTTCATCACAGACAGGTCAGCTGGGACTGGAGCAGCATGCTGATTGAACACAGACAGAGTTTAGTGGAACGTGTGGTGTAACGTGAGGAATTCACCAGAGAGAGGGTTGCACACACACAACTCATTTACATATTGGACCAAAACAAGAGCGAAAGTAGACATGGATTAAGTGTGAATAACCTGCACAGATCAGATGGAAACACTATGACTCTGCACTTCACTCACCTCGGGGTGATTCTTCGCTCCTTGCTGAATAAGGATTAATCTGTCATCCTCTGTGGAAGTGGCGGGAGGGGACTTCTCAGGTTGCGCCTCTCCACCTTCACTATCCTTGAACCACAACAAGTCCCCTGATGTGATGGTGCGTTCACAGACACACTGACTGCCTGCTTCCTGGGATGCAGCTCCTACATCTTTAGACCTTGATCAAACAGCCTGTCCTCTTGTTTGTTTTCTTCTTTCTTCCTCTACAACATGCCATTCCCACTGCATCCTCATCCTCCGGTCTGTAATCAAATCCAACCCCCCCTCCCCTGTCTCTTTTAGATGGGTTTCTTTCTGCAGAGTTCCTTTCCAGTGCCAGCACTGCTGCTGCTGCTGCTGCTGCTCTGACAGCACCGATTGCCTTCTCAGGGCTCGGCATTGGCCGTTGCATGACCACATGTTCCTGCTCTGCCACCAACCAAAAGGCAAGCAGAGCTGCTGGTGCTCTCTTTGGGACAAAGCAGAGAAGAGCCTGCGGTGCTTAGGAGATTTGTTTAACCTCCTCTAACAAGAATGAGATGAGAGACTTAAATAACTACACTGATAGCAGGAGGTGGGAAATGAGTTCCTGGATATAATGATGTAGCCTGTCTGGCTGTTTTTTACTGACAGCGTGGATTAACAGTCACGCATGACAGCTCTGTGGTTGTGGTCTCCCACTTTACTGCCTGTCAAATTGAAAGCAATTAACGTAGCTACACAATAACACACTTGAACAGACAATCCATCACACTTGCCCTAATTAGGCTGTTACACATCCACCAGCTTGAAATTGTCTCATTAAAACGTGTACATGCCAAAAGGTGATTTCTAGTATTTTTTTTATTTTTTTTTAAAAAAGATTGTGAGTATTTAAAGTGCTGTAAATGATTTGTTGGCCTATAATTTGTCCAACATATGTCTCATGAATTATAATGAGTCATTCTGAGCCAGAAAGAACATTCCTATCAAAAGGTAGGTTTTTGGCAAAGTAACTATTTCATATGCCTTATTTATCCAAATATAAAATGTAAATTACATTAAAAATCAATTTTCCAAAAGAGATCTGTCCAAGAGGGCGCCACAAAGTTATAAAATAGCAGTTCTAAAAAGTTAAGTAAAGTAGCCAAAAAGGACTGGATTAATTATAATGTAGAACAATAGAAGGTACAATAACTCTGTATTAAATATACTTACTAAACAGGTAATTTCTTCATTTTATAAGTAAAGCTTTCATAAATCCTGTCGACTACAGTCTATTTACCAATATCAGTAAAGGTATTAGGCATAAATAACAAACAGAAACATTGGCAATAACTTTCTGGCAGACAGACACTTTTTGGCATGCATACCAAACGTGTTTGTAGTCGTAAACCCTGCTTATACAGTGAAGACTACAACAGTTACTCGACAAAACCATCACTACATTGTAAGATTTTTTTATACGTAAATCACAAAATTACTTTGGGTATAACTAACAAGAATACAAGAATGAAGTTTCTACTTTCCACTTCCATTCAGATGTAATAAACCTAATTGATGACCACAATTAATTCTTTGGAGGTTTTTGTTCATTTGCGGTGTGATCTGTAGAGGAGATGACAATAAATGAGCAGTTTGGGACCATACACGTGTTGTAATCAGGCTGTTACACATGGTACATTGTTTATCAACTCTTTAAACTTGCAAATGGAAACCTTATTTTTTTAATAGCTTTGTCTATAGGTAAAGTGAATAACTAAGAAAGCTACTGGACATAACCTTACCTAAAGTATGTTCTTTATTCTTATCAAATTAAACATTTACAAAAAATAGCTCAGAAGAAGAAGAGACTACACTAATAGGTGTGGTACACCGCTACCAGCTTTAATGTTTCCTTATTAAACAAGCAAATACGTTTTAATCATAGATTTGTTTATAAATGTGGTGGATAACTAAGGAAGATACTGGACATAGCCTTAATAAAATATCATCCTTATTCCAATTTAAATTTTAAAAATGTAGCTAATTTTCTAATACTAATTAGCACAGACTAGCTCCTTCTTCCAACTTACAGCTTTATTTTAAGTTTGCTTAACCGTAGCCTGAGTAAATATAACAGATGACTGTAGTTAATTTGATGATCAAATATGATATTATTAAGCTATTATTCATTTTTGTTTTTTACACTTTTATTTGGTTGGGATTCAAAGCGAACAGATGGCAGTAGATCAGTAAATAGGGACCTTACTTACTTACATCCACTACCTGTATTTTATTTTCCCCCTTGCCAAAACTGCAAATACAAATAAATTTTATCATAGCTTCATTTGTAAACACAGTAGGAAACTAATCAAGCTCCCGGGCATGACCTTAACTAAAATATATTCTCTATTCAAATCCAAATTTAAATAAAATAAATGGCGCTAGAGTCAAAACCATTCATAACAGTTAATTAACACAGATCACCAGTAAGGGGTTCCTTTTTCCAACTTACAGTTAGTTTTAAGTTAGAAGCTTAGCACTGGCTGAAGTACACACAACAAATGACCGGTTAATTTGATCATCTGAAATTACACACACACACACACACACACACACACACACACACACACACACACATATATATATATATATATATATATATATATATGGCAGTAGATGAGCAAATAGGAACCTAAGACATGTAATTATGCAGTTACACTTCAACTAGCTTGTCTTTTTCCTTACTAAACCAGCAAATACAAATATATTATCATACATTCGTTTACAAGCACAGTGGAGAACTAAGCAACCTTCTGGCCATAACCTCAACCAAAATATATTTTGTATTCATAACTAAATAAAACAATTGAACTGGAGTCAAATCGTTCCTAACAGCTAATTAGCACTGACCACCAGAATGAGGCTCTTCCAACTGACATTCAGCTTTTTTTTTTAAGTGCGCAAGTGTGAGTCGGCAGCTTCGGCCTGGCCTGAGTAAATCTAACATATTACAACAAGTTAATTTCATAATCGAATATGACATTAATAAAAGTGATAATTGCAGGTTTTGCTCATTTCTGGTGTTATTTTAAGAGAAGAGACGGCGGTAAATCAGCAAATTGGAGCCAAGTAGTAAGACCTATTTTGAGAGGCGGAGCTGGTCTTCTCCATTCGGCGAGGCGTGTTCGTAATGAAAGGAGCGCGTGAGCGGCGCTTGCTCTGACTTCCTCGCTCATCGGCAGCTACATTGTGTGGAAAGCAGCACGTTGTTGGCTTCTGCACGCTGAACTTTACGCCGAATAAACGTTCTCCTGTTTAAGGAGAAACCGGATTCAAAGCTACCAGATATTTTCTCAGACGTCTGTAAGTTACCCCAGCTTGCGAAAACATGTCGGCCTCGGCGGCAAAAGTGAGTAAAAAGGAGCTGAACTCAAACCATGACGGAGCGGATGAGACCTCCGGTAAGGGGAATGGCGGCCTCCTGTTCACCGCCATTTTCACTTTCTTCTCTTAACATATTTTTGCATTGCCACTTTGTGCATTATTCCTGCTAATTATTTTGTGCACTGCTTTGATTTTTGCATCACGCCACGGGAGCTTCTTCATGGCTGGCCACGGCGGTTGCTGCGTGTATTCGCGCTGCGCTAACGGTGGCTAGCTCCGCAGCTAACATGCCGCTTCTCTTGCCTTCTGTTGTTCAATTCAGACCGGTGCTGAGAGGCCATGTTAGCTCCTTAATTTAGCATCATCAGCGTGGCCAGTGATGTCGAAGGCTCCTAACTGAGTGTCCGTGTGTAATCTTGAAAGAATATTTTTCTGTGTTTGGGAGTAAAATCACTCCACACTATCCGATAAAGGGTTGCATCTAATTATTTTTTGTTTTAAAAGGGTTAAAGTTGGCCGTTTCAATTAGCAGTTAGCCAGCCTGTGTGTTGTTGTTGTAACGTTACCTAATGCTAGCAGACGACGCTGTGTTTTGTTACCGCTAAAGATGCATTTAAATCAACTGGTCACGCAGTCAGGTGAACCGGATAATTATTTTATGTGGACGAAAACACACAGGATTTCTACTGTATGGGGGACGGTTTCACAGTAATGGGGGGTATTCTGGCATCTGTCCCCGGTTTTGGTCCCTCATGTTATCGCGGCTCTGTGTGTGTGTGTGCACTCAGATGTCCCACATTTAAACCACGCGGCCTTATAGGTAGCAGCCGGCAGGAAACGGTGAGTGTCTGAGCCGCTAGAGCTGCAGCTATTGGCCGCTTACCTTACGTTAACCTCCGGGGGATTTAATCAGGCATATATCTTTACTTACACTGTACTAACGCAGAATTAAGTTGGGTTTTATTTGCGCTCCGGTAGGTGTTGGTATAAAATTACATTTGGTGTAAAAAGAATTTTCAGATAATGGCAAACTTAGTTTCTCTGTAAAATAAGTTTGTATGAAGGACTGACTAAAAGTAAAAAATAAATAAATGGATAATCGAGGTCCTACTTGACTGTTGCTGTGTGTAATTTGCATATAATAATCTTTTAACAATTTTTTGTTTCCCACAGAGAAAGAGCAGCAAGAAGCTATTGAACACATTGATGAAGTTCAAAATGAAATTGACAGGTAATAAACCTTTTAAGCTAAACGTGTCCTTATAGGGGTAGATTTTCTGCCTTTTAGAAATCTCGGTGATGTTTGCTACATGTTTTGATGAAAAGAGGAACTATGTCGCTAAATTAACATGCTACAATCTGGAAACCTGCATAATCACTGAACTGCATTAAGATGCAGTTATTATAGTGAACAGCCAGAATATTAAATATGACATAGCTTAAAGTGGAAGGGTTGAATAAATTGAAATGCAAGGCAGCATTGTTCATTGTGGTGAAAATGACACTAGAGCATAAAGTAAAATATCAATTAAATATAATTAAACATCTAAATATAATTTAGTGAGGGATTTAATAGGCATATGTCGAAATGTAAATTGGGTTGTTTTGGTGTAAGGCAGAGTTTGGGCTTTTCTTCTATTGAAGAAAAATGAAACTTTTCTTTTAAATTGAATGGTTTTCCTTCAATTTTAAGTACAACTCAAATGAATGTGAATTGAGCTAAATTGGATGATGTTCCAAAAGGTAAACTGAAAGCATATGAGACAATAAACCCTTTTTAAATAATCAATAAATCCAAAATGCAAATAAAGTTTGGGCACAACACTGTCCACTGTTGGACACGCATATGTAAATAAATATAGCATTTATCTATATGTTGACATTACACTTGGTTACCTGGATTGTGCAAATTTTAAACTTCTCTTTTTCTTGTTCAGGTTGAATGAGCAAGCAAGTGAGGAGATCCTCAAAGTAGAACAGAAATACAACAAACTCCGTCAGCCATTCTTTCAAAAGAGGTCAGAACTGATCGCCAAAATCCCCAACTTCTGGGTCACCACATTTGTCAACCATCCACAGGGTAAGCAGATAATCTAAGAAATTTTATTACTCTAATTTGTCTATATTTAAAAATGGCATCACAGTGCCAAGTGTGAGTGATGTGGACAGTGAATCAAGTTTTAAATCTGTATAACCATATGTTCTTCCTACAGTATCAGCCCTACTGGGGGAGGAAGATGAGGAAGCGCTTCATTACCTGAGCCGAGTGGAGGTGACGGAGTTTGAAGACATCAAGTCAGGCTACAGAATAGATTTTGTAAGTGTTTAATGGTTTCACGTAACACTTTAGTGACTATTTTTATTTATTTTATTTTTTTTTTCCTTTATTTGCAAGTTTTCTTACCTGGGTGCATTTTTAATTTTTCTTTTTCCTTTTTTTAGTATTTTGATGAAAATCCGTACTTCGAAAACAAAGTTCTTTCCAAAGAGTTCCATCTGAATGAGAGCGGAGACCCATCTTCAAAGTCAACAGAAATCAAATGGAAATCAGGAAAGGTATGCACAGCTTTCAGTTTGTCAACCAAAGTAAATGAGTGGATCACCACTTTGACCTATCATGTTTATCAGTGCCAGAGCAAGCTCATTGACTAAACACTCACGATTGACAGTACTCCTGTTTGACATAATGAAGTTAATTTTTTGTTTTGGATAAGACTTTAAACCTACAACTGGGACCATAGACTCATCAGTGAGGTGTTTACAGAGACCAGAGATAAGTCAGAAATGTGATCATAAGGAGTTGCCCTCTGCTGGCAAAGAAGTAGTAATGCAGGTTAAAGACTACTCTATTTTCATAACCCAGAGCTATTAAATCTACAGTTTATAGATTTTATTCAGAATTGTAGTGAGTTTGTGACTTTTATATCTCACATTGTTAGTTTTAAATGTAATGTGCTGATAATGGGTAGTGCTGAGAATTTTTTTTTCCTGTACCAGTCACAAACTGTTTGGTAACTCCTGATGTTTTTAGGACCTGACCAAGCGCTCCAGCCAGACACAGAACAAAGCAGGAAGGAAGAGGCAACACGAAGAACCAGAGAGCTTCTTCACTTGGTTCACTGATCATGCCGACGCGGGCGCTGATGAGCTCGGGGAGGTCATCAAGGATGACATCTGGCCAAACCCTCTGCAGTACTACCTGGTATGTTTATGATGTTTAGTCTGTATTACAATGTTCTCACATCTTTCATCAATCCATGAAATGATAACAATGTAAGAACCAGAGCAAGAAAATGCTTAAGATTTCCTCATCTCTAGGTTCCTGATATGGAGGATGAAGAGGGTGAAGGTGAGGAAGATGAAGAGGATGAGGAGGGTCTGGAGGACATTGATGAGGAAGGAGATGAAGATGGCGAGGAAGATGAAGAGGATGATGGAGAAGATGGAGAGGTAATCTACTAAAAGCTGAGAAAATTGATGTGAGTGGTGCGGGGTCACCTCCCCTCCCTCTTCACTTGCTAACTGCGTGATGTCTCGCTCTTTCAGGACGACGAGGGAGAAGATGACTAAGAAAACCACCATTTACCAAGACCCTCAACCTTCTATTCCCTGTTCAGTTTTTCCACTCATGTTCGGGAGCAAAGGTTTTATTTTATTTTTTGTTACTTTTTTTTTCTTTTCTTTTTTTAATCCGTGTGTGCTTCATTTTCCATTCTGAAGCCTCTTTCACTTGTTGGTGCCATTTTTTGTTATCCCTCGACTCATCTAAGGCAAATGGCACTTTGCCCTGAATTTTGAGTACCATCCCCCTCAAGTCATCTAAAAATGATAATAAAAAAGTCTAAAAAATAGAATCAGCACGGCATCCTAAGTAGATTTGAAGACTATTCACACAGAAGTTCTTCTGTTCAAGGTTGTGTGGTAAATTGATTAAAGCCATGGTGTAGTGACCTAGCGCTAGCAGACCTCTAAATATTTTCTTTTCTTTCATTTTTTTTAAATTTTATTTTATTTTTTTTTCATTTGGGATGTTGAATCCTTAAAACTTATTTTCCCCTACGTGCTTAATGAGTACCAGCTCATTCCTTTGACTTGTAATGTTTAGAGGGAGGGCAGGGTGGGGCAGGAGTATGTTGGATATTGGGGAGAGTGGTTATTTTGACACCATTTCTATGGGACTTTTTTTTTTTCATTGTATTGTTTTACAGATATCCATGAGATTTGAAATGACATTTTTAATAAAGAACAAAATGGAAAAAAAAACAAGCTTGTAAATTTTGCCCCCCACTGCTTCATGGGTTTAAAAAATGGACCTGTTATCTCAGAATTTACATTTAATCACCCCTTTTCCTTTTTCGCTTGGGGTGGGGGGGAAGAAATTGTTTTAAATTTGAGGTGTACAACTTGCTTTGTTACGATAATAAAACTTACTGTGTATAAATGTGTGGGTGCATTCAAATTTAAGAAAATATAATTCAGGTAGTGGCAAAGGCACCAGGGTTAACTACTTGTAAAGTCTGTCAGCTGGAGAAGGATTTTGGAGTCATAAGCAGGCTGGAAGCAAAGTCCTCTGTTAGTAGGCGATGGGTGATTAAAGCCAAGAAGGTGTGCTCCGATTCCTTGAATTTGCTTTTTGTTATCCTGTCAGGCCAGTCACTTGGCTGGAAGGCCCAACCTAGAGAAAAGTGACAAAATCAGTTACCTGAAAGCAAGATGTAACTTGTTCAGGTGTTTCAGAGAAGTGGGATACATGTCAGTGCAGGTTAACCATAAAAGCCTGAATTCAGATGTACTAAATCCCGACTTAAAAATGAACTATTTTCCAGATCTGTATTTAATAACTTCAAGTGCTTTAGCTTGGATAAAAAACACACTTGAAAGAAATGTGCATGTCTCAACGTTCATTACATACAAATGCAGTCAGCCGTACCTTTAAAAAGTAAGGGGTGAGTATCTAAGGAAACATCTAACCTATATAAATTTGTTCAAAACAAGCATCTTAAAAGAAGGCCTAGTCATATCTCTAAAGTTGTGGCCAGGTAGGGCTCTATATGTGACTGAGTTGCAGTCATCTAAGGGATCAAATTCATGTTTCAGATTGTGGCACAGATGGTATAACACAAGGCCTTAAACCTGCATTCTTTTCAAAGGCCACCAGGGGGTAAATCTTGTGGCCTCAACGGGACTTCTGGTCCTTTACAAGTCTATGGGAAAACTACCCTCTGCTCTGCCCCTGGAAAACTTTTTTTTGTGGTGCGCTAATGGCTCAGTCGCTCATTTTGGGGCATAATAAAACATTTCATAAACGGGTCATTCAAAATGTCAAGATTATCCAGGATACGCAGATAGGAAATAGTTTGGCAGATTGCAAACAATAATTTTTCATCTGTTTAGATAAGGTTTTACTACTAATATACAGTTAAAATATATTGGATTAACTTGTTTATATGACTGTAAAGCACAAAAATATACAACTAACATATAAAGACGTAAAACAGAGTTATTATAGTTGTTTATTTCTAATTTATTTTAAGTTTTTATTTCCTCGATCAGTAGATCGACGTTTCGATTTAGCTTTCTCACACATGAGTTTAGTTAACTGTAATAACCCTGATGTGTAGGTTTACCCACCTAGGTGAGTGTTACACCTGGGACAGGTGGCCACGGTCCAGGAGAACCCCGGGAACCAGGAGAAGCGCTTGTCTGACGGCCAGTGCTGAGTAACGTCGGCTTTTCTGAACGTGATCACCTCAAACCGGTGTCCGTGGGGATTTTCAAACAGCTGAACGTTAACCCTTCGACCCCCGAGCAGCGTGTCGTTGCGGCTGGAGAGCGCCAGCCGGCTAGGCACGGAGCGGATGTCCGTCCCGAGTGCTAACTCGTGTCCGCAAGCCCTGCACAGGATCAGGGTGTCCGTGCTGCTAGCTCCTCGGTCCTGTGCCTCCGCTGCAGCAGCCGCAACACACGCTTCACCGAGCTTGTGGGCACTGGGGTAAAACAGGAGCATAAAGAAAACGTACTGCCCCAGCATGTTTGTTAGCAGCCACGCGCACATGGAAGGCTAACCACAAGCTAAGCTAACTGAAACTCTTAGCAGCTTTGTTTTTAGCTGACACGGCGCATGGAGCGAGAATCAATAATTGGCTGTCAGATATCAGCACAAATGATAAAACATATAAATCTCTGACCACTAAATTTTTGTGTACATTTATTATATCGTTTCGATTGGTGGACTTTGGAGCGGCTGGCTAGTATAAACGTGTTAGCTTAAGATTCGGAAGTGCCACAGAAATAAACAGGAAGTGGATTCATCTCTAGCTCATCTCAGACGTCGAGCACTGCGGTGTTATTTAACTGGAAAACGGCTATTTACTTTAGCAGGAAAGCCACCAGTATACATGATCTGAATTTGAAAAGTAAAGCATTTAACAATATGTTCATTTTTTTTGGTCTGGGTTTTTTTTTTGTTATAACGGTTTTGTGCTGCGTTCACGTTACATGGTTTCAAACGGAATTCCCGAAACCGTCATAACAAAGGTATCTGCTGCAGCTCCATTGTTGCTATAAATATGTAACAACTGATCTCATTTTATAAAGTTTAAGAGATAGATTATTCCTATTAGAATTGAAGCGTGAAACCATTTAAGAAGGGTATTAATTTATTTGGATTTTTTCCGACACCACCTAAAGGCAGCGTGGACTTCACGATTACTTTTAATGGTTACCACGGACAACGCTTGCACAAAACTTTCCTCTCAACCAATCACAAAGCGGGATCTTGCAACCGAGCCAATCATCAGGCCGGTCGTTTGTCAAGCCAAACAACCGTTTTCTTTACTGGGAGAAGCCGAGATTCATCTTGGAAGTAGACTGTGTATCATGATAAAAATGTGCTTTTTAATACTTATTTTAACGGGTCATTAATGTGCCCAAACGGGGTCTATGAGAATGAAAACCCGGGATTCACCTCCGTCGCCGCCACCGGTTCACCTCCACGTACTGGAGACTACACCTATACATGTTCACATGAGGAGGAGTCCCAGCAAAACCCCACAGGTTACTGTACTTTATAGATTCGGGGAAAATACTGCTGATGTTAATCACATGTCGTATTTCTGCTGCAAAGATTTGTTAGTTTTCTTCTAGACAGCCCTCGCCCCACCTTTTCGCAAGCTTTCAAAGAGTTTCCAGAGGAACAGGACGCTACGTTAAGTCTTGAAGCGTTTCACCTGAATCTGTTTACCTTTTCTAAAGAGTCGGGAAAAAGGTGCCCAGGTGAAGGGCGACGGAGGTAGACCAAAGGTCCGGAAGCCGTGGATTCCTCCGGGAAGGCTGTCCTGCAGAAGAGATGTGGACTCCCACAAGTGCCAGGTCTCTTATTACTGTTCATCTCTGTTAAATGTACTGGGATCTGTGGAGAGGAAAGATTTTCTGGCAGCAGCTTGTTTCTTTAACAAAACAGATGTACCGAAAGTATCAAAAAGACTACAACCAGAACCTATACTCTCATTTCAGGGCTGATTTACAAATTAACAAAGGTAGCTGATATCCATTACCATGGACCATCCGAACTACCCACGCAAAGAGTATTCACATATCACTTTGAGCTTATATTCCTTATTTTGACATGTTCGAGCGATGTTTTTCTGTTATGCTGTCTACCTGCCACTGATGGCACAATATGCACAACATAGGGCCATTTACAAGAAAAAGTAGAAATGAAGTAAAATAAGTAGAATTTAAGCAAGACATAAAAAAAACTACAACCATGGGACTTGAGGATTTTAAAAATGATGTCCAGAGCAAGAGAAAAATGTCATAAATATCCACAGACATAGAAAAAATAAAAATAGTGAGCTGAATAAAAGGAGTTGGATACATTTTAACCCACAAACACTTAATCACACAAAGAACAACTGCTACAGTGGCTAACGTAGCAGGCGTTAAAAGACTTCAACTCCCACAACACCCTGCACATCATAGAGAGCAAGGAGTTCCCCTCCTAAATAATATTTGCATATGACAGACACATCTGGTCAACCCCTCACTGACTGGGATGTATTAATCATAGAGAGCCTAAGACAGGACCACCTTTTTGGCTTTAATTTGAGGATTAAACATAATTAAATTTTTTCTAAGACACAGTCGAGGATACTTTGATGAACATGTACCTTGTTTCTTTTGGTAGGTGCAGCTGTTTTCAGTTTATTTCTGTCTTCTTTGAGGCTGATCCCTGAACCGTATTTCTGTTTGTCGTGATTAGACGAGCCGAGTGCGGCATCAGACAGAAAATGGGATCAGACATCAGAACGAAGCAGAGGAGCAGGAGGAAGAGCTGGATGCAGTGTCCAAGGACCTCAGCATCCTACTTAGAGAGCAAGAGAGCTTTCGCCGTTTGAGGAAGTACGTACAGCTTCAGCAGTCTGACACACAAACATTTGTACTACTGACCTCATATCCAGAGGAAGTTTAACCAAACTGGTTTAGTTGTACAGTTTCTCTGAATCTTCTCACAGGAGCACGAAACAAATGCTGAACGAATTCATGTTATAGCAATGATTAGGCAAAATGAATAATGAAATTAATGATGATGAGTGCCATTTCTCCTATTCCTATAATGTAAAAGCTGCAATGGAAGAATATGCAGTTAAATCAGATTTTTTTTCATTTGGTAAATCTGCCAAAAAAACTTTTTACTACAAAAGTCTTCTACTGTAATCTTTGCGTTGCAGAAGTCTCTTTAATGGGTGGCAACAAGTTTTTACACATATCTTTGTAAAGCAATAAAAGGAGGAGAACTAACAGTGAGTTAGTTACCTCTTGGGAGCTAATGTTCGTAGATTAAGGTGTTTTAGTTAATTTTATTTATTTTACAATTTAATGGACCAGCGGTGTCAAACTGCAGTCCTCGGGGGCCAGCAGTCAAGTTCTATAGTCTTGCTAATGACCTACTAATTTTATTCAGGTGTGTTACAGCAGGGACACATGGAAAAGTTTCACTACACCGGCCCTCAAGGACTGGAGTTTGACACCTGTGGACTTAATGAACTATACGCACCTGTATTGGTAGAGATTAGTATGTCAAATGCCTGATAAACTACCAGTGTGCATGGTTACCAGCACAACACTGAGAAAGATGGCGTAGCAGAAGGCTGCTCACCCAGAATCAAGGGTGCCCTGAATAACTGCTGCACCTTTAAACAGGTGGTGTGATTGATGCAGGTCAACTGGAACGGGGACTGGGTACCAGAGGAATCACACAGTGTTGGCAGTCAGGGGAAGAGAAGGAGAACAAGTGGATTTAGCACAAGGAAATACAAGTTTCAGCTTTCAGTGACTCCTGCAACGATACTCTAGTAGAGGAAACGAGAATAATAAGGCCAACTTTTACTCCAATATACTTTCTGCTGATGCACACAATGATATTTCAGGTCTGCTTTGTTTACAGGTCAGATTCTCGCGGTCAACACAGAGGGGCAGATGTGCTCCTGAGAGCCCTCGTTGAAGCAGAAATTGACGGCGTAGCTGTAGCCAGTCAGCTGACAGCTTTGAAGGAAACTATGGACAGCTTTGCCAAGGTAAAACCTGCACTGGAAGATATTTTACTGATAAATCAAGTGGATGAAGAAATGAGGCAGAAGGAATAGATTAGGACATGTTTGGATGTGCATGTTTATTTATGTTTTAGGACAAGACGCCATCAAAACTGCACGCAGCTTCTCTGGAACGGCAGCAGAAGTTGTTGTTGGAAAAGATCGAGATGTTTGATAACACACACCACGGCCTCCGACAGCTCCTCAGAGAGTGGAGTGAACATGAGGTACAGGAAGAAGACAAACATTCCCAGCCCACTGTTCCTTCAGTGGGCTGGTTTCAGTCATTATGCAAATGTACTGTTTATAAGATCGGGGAAACCTGCAGTCAGCTGAGACTGAAGAAGTCACTTGGATGAGTGACGAAACTCCCACAAAACGCTACATCCAGATGAACAGAATCAACTTTTGGAGATTAAGGAGTGGGACTGTCAGCGTGCCTTCATTCACTCCTGACTTTTACTGTATCCACAGCGGGAATCACTGGTGAGGTCAGAACAGACAGACACCCTGAGAAAGAGACTGGCCGACAGTGAAGCAGACAACATGGTGAGTGATTATCACCCGCTTTTTACCTCATTTTACATCAGAGAAAATTTCTGAGAAGACGTTTCTTCTTTTGCAGCGCCTTCTGGCCAAACTCACCCACAAGGAGAAAGAGGCCTCAAAGCTTGCAGAGCATTTGGACTTTGAAAAGGTTTTCCACAACTAACTGATACCTCTCAGACAGACGTGCGCACCCTTAATGATCTCTCCCGCTCATCCTCTGCTTCCCTCTCTCATTGCAGGACAATGTGAAGACAACCGAGGAGCTTTCAAGAATCCTGGAGTCAACTCGCAGCCACCTGGAGTCTCAGCTGAGCCGAGCAGAGGCAGAAAAGACCCGACTGGCCGCTCAGATTCAGGTCTGTTAACACAGAACGCGATCATATGCATTAACACACTGGAACAAGCAGACATAGACTACAACCAAAGACTTAAAAACCCTTTTGATATCTCAGGCCACATTTACTAGTCAATGCAATTAATGCGATCGCAAAAAAATGCACAAGTGAGAGTGCAAAGTTCTGCAATTTAACTGCCAAAAATGCCACATGAAGGAATCTAAAGACATATTTGGTGCAAAACCTGGGGTGTGCCATAGCAAATACTTGTAACACTTTATTTTCATCTACGTTTAAAAATGCCTGAAAACAAGTTACACTGAATGAATATACAATATATAATAAAATGAAGGTTGTAAAGAATAAAAAAGTAAAAGTAAAAACACAACCAGACCATCAGCCACTGTGTGGCTTCCTCCAAACTCTAATTCATTCCACCTGTTTAGCTGTGAACTTCAGTAAACAGGATATATGACTAATCTTAATACCTGTACCCCCAGGGTGAAGTTACTACATCCAGTGTTTACACTGTTCCAGACATCAACACCAACTTAACACCAAATGACCATTGCAATTCCTGGAGGAATCTGCAATCTGCTGAAAACAGCACAAACTAACAGGTCAAAAAAAGATTGACCCAATGAGGGAGCAACAAATCTACTGAAATAATAATGGAGTGTAGGCACTGGCACATGTTTCTCCCCAGAAACAGCAGTTAGGGTCAGTGAGCGCCAGCTGAAGGAGAATCAGTATGTTCTAACATGAAGGCAAACTCCTCTGGGACTGTGTGCGGATAAATGCGAGGCTCTGGATCAATCTCACAGCTCAGAAAGAGGAGGGCTGATTTATTACAGCTGCATAATCTTGAAATCTGTGAGTAAGAGCTGACTTACGTATGTGTAAGAACATGAAACAATATTTCTTTGACTCTCAGTTATCGTGCCAAGTGTGTGCATTGCTCCTGTATTTTTTTTGCATGGCATGCGAGGCTGCATGTATTACATGTTGTACGATTGAGATATCTTGACACGCTCTGTGAACGTTTGAGTCACACAGATCTGATACAGAAGGGAAACTTGTGCGACTACAGTTTTCATTATGGATGATCTCTGTGGAAATGTGACTAAAACCTGGAGCAATGAAGCCTCCACTACGCTCATGTTCAGGTTTCATGAGTGTGGTTCAGTAATGGGTTTAGACTGGCCACAAATATACAAGTGTTCACACCTTTCAGTTACAAAACAGACACTGAAGCTCTTTCTTTAAGCCAAAAGAGGCTTTTCCCAGGACAAGTAAGTCTGGCACAATCTTTTTAAAGTTTATAGCAGCACTTTAGCTGCTTTGTTTCTCTCGTCCTTGTTCTGAACATATGTTTTCTTTCATGTATCTGTTGTAAATTGTCCACATAACAGTGCATGTCAAATAAGTAACAACAAGAGTCTTTTGATGTGCACACTTTGCCAGTGAAGGTAATTCAGAATCCTAAACTCACCCTTTAGCATTCATTACTCTTTAAACCAGCTTTCCTGCTTCTCTCTCTCTCTGTAGAGGATGCATCAGAGCCAGGAGCAGCAGCAGAAGGAGCTCCAGGTGCTTCAGGAGGAGCTGCAAACTCTTAGGGAGCAGAGGGAGGCCGAGGAGAGAAGTCTGGCCCTGCTCACCGAGCAGGGAGAGCGAGCCGAGGAGGCCGCCAGGCGGCTCGCGGACAAACTTCAGGAAAAGGTCAGTATGTGCAGCTCGTGTGATTAAACCTGGTCACTGGTTTCCTAAAGTCACACATTACCTACATTACATCCTGTGATGAACTAAAAGCTATTTTCCAATCCATATTTTTAAAAATCTTTTCACAGTATTTCATCATTTTCTGGTATTGCAGTAGATTATAGATGGAGAAGGTGGTGGAGAAAACATGTTGGTTCCTTTGTGTGACCGTCACACCTCTGTGTGGTTTCTTCTGCATGCAAATGAGTTTTCTCTGCGGTGTCTTGTCCGATCATGTGGTTTATGCAAATCTGATTCAAAGGAGAGCCGCTTGGCCAAGTGGCAAGTTTCCAGTGAAACACGCAAGCAACAGAGGTGAGGACTGCCTGCTGAAGGAACAGCAGTCTGACTGAGCCTGTAACAGGCATACAGACACTTCCTGCTTACTCTGTTCATTCTCTTTCACCTGTTCACCTTATTGAAGGTGACTTGTTTATGAGGAGCACTTGAAATAATAAATAAGGTCAAAAACAAAAGAAGAAAGTGTGTGAGTGTTTTTGTTTTTTCTTAAAGGAGTCCCAGCTGGCTCAGGCTCTCTCTACATCCAGTGACTGGTGCCTCCGTCATTCCAAGGAGGCAGCGGCTAAAGGACAGCTAGAACAGGAAATCTCTGCTCTCAAACAGTGAGTGCATTCATGGAAACACTCATTTAGTTCTTGTTTCTGTAAATAAATCGATAAATGTAGCCCAGCATCATCGGACAAAATGTGAGTCACCCTGAAAATTAAGGCGGCCGTGGTCAGTTTGAAATTTATGTCTTTATAAGGAATTTCAAGTCCAACTTTGTCTGGTTTGCTGGAGACCTGGAAGATGACAACAATGAGATGTGTAAGGCAGGGGTGTCAAACATAAGGCCTGAGGGCCAGAATCGGCCCTGCAAAGACTCAAATCCGGCCCACTAGACAGCTTTGGAAAATATGAAGGAGTACATAGATTTTGACTTTGTAACTGTATTTTCATAAGTTGGACAACTTTTCTTATTGATAAAGGAACCCTCCCCATTTCTATTTCATAGTACACCAAAGTAATTAAGTAACAGATAAACAATTACATGACAAAAAGTCCCTGCTTTTTCACTATCTACTATAGAAATGTCTGTCTCCTTATTTGATATGTAAGAAATGTTGTTTTTATAATTATGGGACAGTCTGGGGAATCAACAAACAGAACTTTTTCTGTAATTTCACACATTTATCACGTAGTTTCACTGGTCTGGCCCTCTTCAGTTCAAAGTGGGCAGAATTTCTAGTCTAAGGCTACCATGAAGAAAAGGAAACATCTTGCAATATCAGAAGTCATCAAGATGGAAGAGGAAAGCTACAAGCCCAAAGCTGTGAGCCAGTATTAGCAAGAGAGCTGGGGGCAGCGGGGCCATCACATGGTCCATATCTGGAGGATTCCCCAGGCACGGCTGAGCTCGCACTGAGCTGGTTCAGTTCCTCCAGATATCAGCCAGATATCCTGGTCTGGTCCACGTCCTCCAGAAAAGCCATGGTGACAGAGCCGACTGTTCCATGGGAGGAGGAAATGGAAGTGGCTTTGGAGAGAAAAGCCAAATGCTGACAAACAGGGTGGAGTTGCGTTCACCTTTCCAGCTGGAGATGGATGCAGAGGTTTCTTAAATGTCTTTGTCACAGGTCGCATGAGGAGGAGAGCTCTCTAAGGTCGCACAGAGGAGCCAGAGCAGGGGAGCTGTAGTCTGTGGAGGAATGATGTTGTGGGATGAGGATCCTAGGACAGGCCGCAGGGGCTGCTCCGACACACCGAGACCTTCCAGGATTAAAGGAGAAACCTCGGGGGTGGGGGAGGGGTGGCAACACACTGACAACCCTGCAGCTTAGTCTGTAGCACTTTTGGAGATGCTTCAGTGTGCAAGGCAGGTGAAACCAGCTGTGCTTATATCAGACAAGCATACATTTACTGGACTTTAAACTTTTTTTTTACAGGGAATTTCCTTCCCTTAACATATGTTAAATGGAAACCCAATTTAAGAAATGAGGAGAAAAGGATGTGGAAGTGGTGGGCAGCGTGGGGTCATTTGGTTGGACCACAGACTCTTGACTGTGTTTTTTTTACTGTAACCCTGTCGAAAAATCCCACCACAGCAGAACGTGTACGAGGCCGTAGAGATGCCCAGGTGGCAGCGGACTCGTGCACCTCAGCAGCTGATATCGTTCACTTAAGGTTGTTCATTACTGTAGGTAAACAAGGATCTGTGACTGGTATAATCTATGTTCCTCCTGTTCATGCTGGACTTGGGAAATCAGCTCTCTGGTGTCTCTTTTTCTGCTTCTTGAAATCACTAGCAGTAAGATGACTACTAACCCTCCCACCCTACAAAATCACCCATCACACAGTTTTTATAAAGGAGGGAAAAAGCCGGAAAAAAACAAAAACGTCTTTGTATCCGGCGCTTTTTTATTACTTTTATTTATTTGGCACTTCTGTATCGGCTCCATTTTTCAGGCCCAGAGGGTGTCACTTGACACAAACTGGTACTGAAACTGAGGCTACTGACACTTTGGAGCTGCAGCATCTGTGTTATGGCCAGAAACTGAAACAATGTTACTTAGAAAATTGTGGTTGTTGAGTAAAGTAACCTTTTATACCTGTCTATGTCACAGTCAGGTGATCGAGCTGCACGCTCAGCTTCAGTCAGCGGAGGAGAAGAGTCGGACAGAGAGGGAGGAGCTCCGGGATCAGCTGCATCATCTCAGTGCCGAAAACGCCTCCACCAAGCTGCACAATCAAAGTCTCAAGGTATGTTCAGGAGAGTTAGCAGCACGCTATGGATTTGGTTGATATGAAATAAAAACTGTTAAAGAAAAACCAACAGCTAATGTTGTTTCAAAGCTTCTGTGGTCTAAGGGAAATGTATTTATGTGTAGTTTATGATAAACATGCCTCACATTTAGAGTCAGCTGACGTCTTCTGAGGAGACACAGCGAGGGCTTCAGTCTGAAGCTCGTCAGCTGAAAGCGTCGATCAGGAAGTATGAAAACCTGGTGGAGAAGTACAAGAAGAAGGTACAGATACGCTCACTTTAAATACAGATTTAACATGAAAGTCAGATGGTACTTTGTTCTTACATATTATAACTTTTAAAAATGACTTTAAAGTCTCTGTGCTGAAATCGAACCCGTGTCGGGGTGATAAACCTCTCTGCAGGTCCAGCAGGCTCGCCTGGAGTCCGAGGAGTACTGCCTGAAGCTGGAGGCGGTGCAGAAGGAGGCGCTAGACGTGCACGTCAGCCTGGACAGGGAGAAGGAGCAGGTGAGGCGGGAGCTGCTGGGGCGGCTCAGAGAGCTCGAGACTCTACCGGACAGATTGAGGAAGACCGAGCAGCAGCTCCGAGAAGCCCAGCAGGAGGCTGACGCACGCGAGAGGAGGAACATGGAGAATAACTCCGCCCTCTCTGAAGTCAGGCACAAGGTAGAGGTTTCATTCAGACCCAAAAGACCCAGCATACTTAAAAATCTGGAAAGATTAACAAGTTTGATGAATATAATCCATGCAGAGTGTCCCCAGGAACCCGTCATGGCTGACATGTTCCACTAAACGTTTTCCTTTGCAGGTGGAGCAGCAAGGCACTCAGCTGGAGACGCTTCAGCAGAGGAACCTGCTGCTGCAGGAGGAAAACAACGTCTTGAAGGAGAAAGTGTACAACTTCGAGAGGTAACAGTCACAGAGAAACTGCATTTAATGGACGTTATTCAATTCAAGTTTATTTATATACTGCAGAGCCAAATCACAACAACAGTAATACAGATAAATCTGTATTATATCTGATCTTTTCCAAGCTGAGACACTAGATTTGTGTGTTGGTTGCAGGAGGCTGGAGGGCTTGAAGGCAGAAAACAGAGAGATGTCTCAATCTCTCGCTTCGAAGGAAGCCAGTATCCACAGCATCCAGCAGCAGCTGGAGGAGAAGAGTCACGAGTGCAGCGTCCTGTCCAGACAACTGCAGCAAACTCTGGACGACGTACAGAAACAGGTACAGACACGTGGAGTCACGGAGGTCTCACAGTTCCACAAAACATCACACACCAGACGGGTGAATGGGTTAGCGATCTGCGATGAGTTTAAAGCCAGAGGTTTCAGCATCAAGACGGTGGCTCTCCTTCAACTTCTTAACAGCTACCAAGATGCTGCTGAACTGGTTAGAAGTGGAGTTTGGTTCACATCTACCTCACCCAATAAAATTCTCCTAATAGAATAACTGTAAAAGGAAATGCATGTAAGAGAAGTGATTTGACAGGTAGCATCACTCATGATCCTGGACTTCCCAAACTCTAAAGTGTTCAGCAGTGACCTGGAGGATGTTAAGAGATTGCCATGGTTACTGGTGCTGAACACTTAAGCTTTTCTGAAGCAGGTTGCGTTTGGAGTTTTGGTTTAAAATCAGCTGGAGGCTCCACAGTGTCACTAATTCTTTTATTTTGATTTAATAGCTTTTATACCTGTCCCCGGATTGGGAGGGAGGGATGGATGTTTTATGCACACTGCTGATCTGTATCTCACTAACGTCACTGAGTGAAGTCCTGCAGTGCAAACACTGACACACAGCTTGCACGCATTAACTTGGTGATGCAGAAGGTGTTTAGACTGCTGTTAAGTCTGCAATTAAAGCAGTAAAAACTTAGACTGCAATTGAGATTAGAAAATCAGTCAGTCGACTTTGTTACTACATACATTACTTATTGCAGGCAATATAAATCAGTACATTTAATTTCACATTGATGTGGTCAAAAAATCTAATGATTTCCATCTCTCCTTCATTGGTCTGTGGGTCAGTCAGAGCTGAACACAGCAGGCAATCTTTAACTTAAATGGCGAAACAAATGTGTTAACTTGTGATCGAGCAAAATTGTCCTTAAGTCGCGATTAATCCTGTTAGTAAAGTGTTAGTGCTGCTAATGTGGGTGAGGCTCAAAACTTTGGTTGGTGTTTCTGTTCTGTATTAAACTGATGATCCAGAGTTTACACCTCCTCAATGTGAGCTGTGTCCACGTCCACACTGACTGCTGATCATTGAGTTAAACTGGGGTAAAAACTAAAGCTTTGATTTAGGTGTTTGTACACACTCACTAAAGATAAGGTCAAAGAAACTAAATCATCAGTTTTTCCCTGAAGGATTTCGGTGCTCATATGTTTATTTTTCACGTTCGGCCTGCAGGTAGACGACAGCATGCAGAGGGTTTTAGCCAAAGAGAGATCGTCTCAGTCTAAAGCCCTGGACCTCCAGAGCCAGCTGAGCCGAGCCAAAACGGAGCTGAGCCAACTGCAGCGAAACAAGGAGGAAGTAAGTCACCGCTGAATGCTTCTACATATGCAGGCAGGCTTCGATAAAACCAAGAGGCCAGCACAAAAGTATTTCAGGAAAGCTCCTTCTGGCCCATTTGGGTCAGTGGCAACAGTTCCACCAACTTTCTACAGCAGTCAGCAGAGGAGGTGTTTGAAACCTGTGGCAAACATGGAGAAAGGTGGAGCGGGAGCCACTTTTCACGTTTCGCTCATTTGCAAATAAAAACATAGTTAGGACCACATGTTCATGTAAAATATTTTAAGATTAAGGCCAACTAGCCTTTCAAAAAAAAGTTTAAAACACAGCAGCTCCTCCGTCACAGCTCACTGAGGAGCTCCAGCCTCGCGCAGCAAGTGGCAACATGACGGAGACAGCAAGCTCAGGTGTTGTGAACGTAAATGTGTTTTCAAATTTCCAGCAGCAGCGCTCGTTACTATAATCACTATAAAAACCTTCGCAGGTAAAAAGCCAATCACGGTCCTTCATTAAACCACCTGTTCAGCAATCATAAACGTGAAGACAGTCATCCTTTCAGCTGCTCGCTGTTTCACAGAGTTTCAGGATGAAGAAAAAGCATGAAGACAAACTCCCAGCTCGGTTTCTCACTCTGGAAATCTGGAAGTCTTTGTAAACTTTGCTGCAGGCTGACAGCAGCTGTTCACTTTCTCTCTATATATTTCTGTTACTCTGGTTCATTGTTCATTAATTACCATCAGCTCCTCACCCATAAATGCTTTGAAGAAGTTACTGTTGCTGTGACACGTGTAAATGTGCGCATCACTCCTGTTTTTTTTTGTCCAAAGACACACAGAGACTCTTATTGCTTTCACTGGTTTTGTCCTTTTAGTAAATCTGGGCAGATTTAAGGCAGCTTTGGTACTGAAACTGATACATCACATGATAATGATGCTCAAAGATGGTCAGAGAAAAAAAGGTGATGTTGTGATGTAGAAGTGTATCCCTGCCTTTGTTTCCCAGATGGAGCGGCGCTTCCAGAGCCAGCTGCAGAACATGAAGGACCGGCTGGAGCAGTCGGACTCGACAAACCGCAGCCTGCAGAACTACGTCCATTTTCTCAAAACCTCCTACGGAAATGTGTTTGGTGACTCTCTGCTTGGAAGCTGACAAGCAAAATTTATCCAGCCTGACCAGCAGTGATCCTCCCGAACTATCGTACGGGACATAAACCGCATTTATTAAAGGTCTGCTTTTGACTTGAAGGTTTCATGTTTTGTATGAAATGAATAAATTTGAATTTATGGATAAATTCTCAGTTATTAGTAGCCCAAACATTTTATTTATGTATAACTTACCAGTAACTTAGCAACTGCAAAGCCAAGATAAGAAACTCCAATAAGAGTTTTTATGATTTACAATATTCTTTCAGATTTACAAACATAAAAAATTATGTGGTTTATATTATAGCATTTTGTATTTTACACCAGAGTGTCATTAAAGTCAATGTAAAAAAAAAGAAGAAAAACAGACTTGTTTCATTTATGTTAGGAGGTACTTTTGGAACATTATATCTACATTGTAAGACTACAATGTAGAGAAATTGGACTAAAAAACCAGCGTTTTAGTTCACCACAGCATGTTTTACCCTGTTGTTTTATGCGTGTCAGATAAACGAGAACAGTCTGTGAAACATATCAATACAAAGACTGGATGTTTAAAAAAGAAGGAACATCTAGGGCCTGATCTGCTAACGGTCTGCGGCAGTGCAGTCTTCTTTTGGCCTTAAAAAGCATGTTTTATACCTGTTATGGTTATGATGTTTGGTTCTAGAAGTTTTTTATTTTTATTTTCAGTTTCCAGTCCTATGATCAGTACTACTTGGATTTTTATGAAGCAGCAGAAATGAACTTGTTTCTTGGTAGAATGCTGATTAAGTAAACTGGATAGTCGTATAGAAATTATAGAAATATTACTAGAGAACCCTGCGACTGCATGTAATGAAACACATGTTATTTTCTTATGTTTTCCTGCTGAGTACTGAGCCAGTAAAACCCTTTTCTCCTCCCTTGTTTAGGATTTCTATGACTGAAGTCAAACATCACAGTAAACATTAATTCATGATAATCCTACAGGCTCGAATGGAAGAATAGACCTTATCAATCCAAACTGAGTTATACTGAACCTTGAAAATACTTTGATCAGTTAATATAGCTCATAATCTTGATTTAGAGAGTTTGTATAAATCTATGTTCTTCACGCGAAGCAACTGGAAAAGAAGCAGATTTTCTTACAGCAGTTCAGCTGTGAACTATAGGAAGGCGTTTTCTAATTTCCTTTCTTAATAAAGGAAAGTGAACCTCGGGTCACGTCACTCAGTTAGGAATCTTTCTTAGCAAAATGGACTGTGGGAACCTAATAAAGAAATTATCACAGTGCATAATAGAGTTATCTCTATCATTTTGTGATGTGTGATTATACAGATAGCAAAGAAATAAATATATAAAGGTCCCAGATGGGAACTTAGTAAAGTCCGGTGGTTTCTCTTCGGATTGTATTTTATGTAACGCCGTATGGCGGATTCAAACTTGACTAGCATTACTGCTAATCAGTTGTAGTTTTTTGTGTTTCGCGATGCCTTCTGAAAGTCTACGATGGGAAACTTTACAGGCCTTAAAAAATTCACCAAAGGGGAAAATCTCCTTCGACCCATTCTGGTTGGAAAGGGGAGAGGTGAGTTGCCGCCAGGTAGCTAAAAAAAAACAACTAGAGCTAGCTAAACGGTAGCTAGTTAAAGTTAGCACGCTACGCTTGTTTAGAATAATCACTACAAGGGTGGATTTTATTCAAAGTGACAATTTAATCATTTAGATCAGGCAGTAAGACGTCAGCTCGGAAGCTAATCAATAAACAGTGGTTGAAAACAAAGTGTTAAGAGGCATTTACGCAAATAACGTAGTATAGTTGCGTACTTTTTTAATTTTTAATCTTCAGACATCCTTTTATGGATTTTCATCAAATGACTACTTTTATTGCTACTTTTATTTGACAGATAACTAATGTGACTTCGTGACTTCCGTTTATAAACTGTGAAGCATCTATCTATCTATCTATCTATCTATCTATCTATCTATCTATCTATCTATCTATCTATCTGTCTCTCTCTCTCTCTCTCTCTCTCTCTCTCTCTCTCTCTCGCAAAGACCAGTAGGACTTTCTTTGAAAGGTTTTTATTTTTATTTTTTTAAAGACCAAAGTTGATTTTTATGGCGCTTTTCGAGTTTGGGAGGCTGAATTCCATTTTCGGTTCCAGATTTTCACACAAGGGCAGTGGACAATGGTCAACTATAATCCCGCTCTTCTTGTTTGCGGTGGTGACATGCAGGCTGTCAGATGAGGTCAGGCAAGAGTCTGTATACACTGTGAGGTTCAGGGATGACATTGTGAGACTAGTGAGGAGGGAGTAGGTGGCGATATAGGGAAAAGGAATGTGTGTGTTTGAGAAGGAGACTGGTGCAACAGTGAGGATGTAAGGAGCAGAGGTAGTGAAGGTAGAGGACTTTAAACCATCCAAAGAAATGGACAGCACACAAGAAAGGGGAGGCAGGGGACGAGTGTCAGGGGTGATTTGAAACAGATTTCTGTTGTTGAACTCCATGTTTATAAAAGCAGAGGTATGAACTCACTGATTCCTCATGAAGGTGTTACATGGAAAATCCAGTGTGTTTGTTTTTGTTTTGTTAAAATCATTTCAGGCTTTAAGAAGTCCTACTTTCTGAAAGGATATGGCAACATAAGTGATGCATACAGTTTCTGTGTATAAACCATCTGTAAACGAAGCCCGCTTGTGTTCTTGTAGCCTCTTTTAGCAGGTTGTAAAGACTCCCCAAGCTTGTCTCCAATCGCTGGTGTCATATTGGAGCGTCTCAGCTCGGCTCCCCTGCAGAAGTCATCATCCTTCCTGGGCTCCAGATCCGGAGACTCCAGCCCTGTTCTCTCAGAAGTCTCTATTTCTTCTACCGGATCTGTCGCCGATGTCAGCGCCAGGACAGCTGCATTTTCTGCAGCAGCGTCTGTAAAGAATGAGCGAGAACAGGCAAGTCCTCAATGTCTCTCTTATGTGTCATGTTGTAAAACAGTTTTCCAATTTAACTGAATATCTGACCCTGATGGTTTTTGCTTTGTTTTTTCCTCATGCTGATGCTCTGTAGAGTCTTAGTGATAAGGTGAAGGATGAAAGTCCAGAGGCAGATGTCAGTGGAGTTTCCAGTCCTACGTCACTTCCTGCCATTTCCCTCCTGTCTCCCAAAGCCATGGAGATGGCTGGCTGTATCATCAAAGTTCAGGAGGAGCATCGAGAAAAGGCTAAGGTTCAAGTTTTTGACAGTGTTTTTTTTTATTTTAATTTTTTTTTTACTGAAAAACAGCTTAACAGTGATCATCTTTTTTTTTACATTTAATTTTATTTGCAAACCTAACTTCAAATGTTTTTTTTTTTGTTGTTGTTTTTTTTTTTTTTTAACTCTTATGATTTTTGTCAGTAGCAACTTGTTTTATTGTATTTATTTTAGTTTGTTTGCTTTCAGCTTTTGTTTTTAGAAACTAACATGTAATCTAAACATATGAATATGTTCAGGATTTCCAGTTACAGTTTATGGAAAAGCATGTAATGTTAGACGCTTACACATTACTGGAAATGGGTCTAAACTTCTTCATACTAACCTCTGCTGGCTTGCTGATCAGAGTTATATATTTTGCATGTTGACCCCTGCGTACTATATACTTGGTAAGGGTCTCACCAGACTGTCTTCTATCTATCGACTCAGTTGGCCCTCAGGGTGCGGCAGGAGATGCAGGAGAAGCTCGTAGCGGCGGTTGCGAGCGCCGAGTCAGAGCAGCTGAAACGCTTTGAGGAGCTCATGGAGCTGAAGCAGAGGCAGGAGTACCAGAGTATGAGGGACATGATGGAAAGAGAGTAAGGGAAATCATGACTCATTCGAAATGATTAAAATGCTTAAAAATGTCTGAAACGTTACATGCGATTAAACACCTGGTCTGGTTTTCCACTTCCTGTACTGCAGAACGAAGGAGAGCATCGGGCGTCAAGAGAAGCTGAAGGAGGAGCAGCGGCGTAGAATAACGGTACGTGGAAAGTTCAGGAAACGTGAAGCTTAAACCCCTGTTTGTCAAGTTGTTTACTGAAGTCTTTAATTTTGCTTGTTAACCTTACAAAAATTGTGCATGTTTCAAAGTGTGAAACAGATTGTGAGATGCTGGATGTGCAGAGCTCTGCAGCAGGAGAAGTAGATGCTCTTTATTTTTGGTAGTCTGTTGTAGTAATGATCTCCTGCACATACAGGGGCATTTCTTGTGCTCAGTGGGGTAGAAAAAGTTATCTCGTTCCTGTGCTGTTCATGCTTTTTGTTTGTCCGTCAGCTCGTCAACCTACGGCTGAGGGAGGCAGAGCAGCAGCGTCTTCGGGAGGCAGAACTCGAGAGGCAAAGGCAGGCGGAGGGCAGGGAGAGACTGCGTAGCCTCAACAGCATCCAGGAGGAGATCCTGCAGCTCAACCAGCTGCTTGAGCCCTCCACCCAGACCAAGACGGACCTCCCACCGGCCAGCCTCAGCTCCTACAGCACCCGAGGGAACCAGCTGTGCTCCCAGGTGTCGGAGGTGGTGCGAAAGACTGCAGAGGTCGGTTTACATCGAGATTTTTAAGGTTTATGCTCCTCCTAATTTCTGCTTGTACTCATGAAATGCATGTGTTCTGCCTATTTCAGGGCAACTTCCCCAGCTTGGAGGACATGACTGTGGCAGAGCGAGCCCTGCACGAGATGAGAGCGCTTATTCGGCTGATGCAGGAGGAAGCGGCCAATGTTCGAGAGAAGAAAAAGAAGGAGCAAGAGCAGGAGGAGGAGCGCAGGAAACAGGCGGAGCTGCTGGCGAAGCAGGAGGGGGAGAAGAAGGCGGCACAGCTGGCCAAAGAGAAGGCACAGAGGAAAGGTGATGAAGGAGAAGGCTTAGCTGCGTCATGCATCTGTACAGCTGGAGGTGTTGTCAGCAGCTTGTGCACAAAACAAAACATCCTGTTTGCATAAAATAATTTGGAGAATAAATATAGACCAAAGTATGGATTTTGACTAATTTATTTATTTACCCCCCCTTATCCAGATATATTGCTGAGTGTTTTCACCATTTCATACTGAACCTCTTCCTGCAGGGTTGCAGAACAGCGCTGAAGACGTCACGCTGAAGTGGTACAAGG